CCACTTACCAAACATTATATGCATATTTAATTTGATAACGTCGCAAAAAATGTACGTTCAAGACTTTTGCAAGGCTTTCGAATGTAATAAATAAATAAAGACTTCTAGTCAAGGGTCATAAGTGGAGTAGCATCTTAGTGTTCATATTCGCTTGCGACGGTTCTGTGCCTATCTCTGTGTGTGTGATGTTTAATAATATACAAAAAATTTTGATTGGTCACATGCATGTGTGCACAACACTAGATAAAATACACTTTTTACTTATATGTAGGACATGTAGGTATTATACCTTTTAAACCAACTAAACTTTGAAAATAAAATCATTTAAGTATAATATTTTCGTACACTATTTTGATTGCTTATACAATTTCTTCTTATTATTTTATAGAGGTTTATAGCTTAATTTGTTCATTTTCTCAAGGAAAAGAAGATTGAAACTTAACCTCAATATTATCATATACTAACTAATTACTATCAAAGCCGGCAAATCCCCTAAATTGCCATTAGAAACAGGTATTTCTATTTAAATGTGAAATAAAATATTAAAAGTGTGACCTCAATTGTTATAGAATAACTAAAAAGACGTTGACGCATGGAGGCAAGTAAATGCCATACGTTTTCTATAATTTTTAGATTAGGGGATCGCGAAGACCATGGAATAATCTTAATATCCGAATGTCGTCATTCACTAACACCGCTAGCACGGTATATCACAAGTTATCTTGAACAAAATACTTTCACTAATGTCTTCGACGGGATAAATATTGTTCACAATAGGTAGCATTACGTCATTCAAAACCTCGATGTAATTGGGATCTATTTTGTATGATTTTGTGTTTTTGTTTTTTGTTTCATATTCACCAACCATAAACCGCCGCTGAGACTGATTAATAAGTAGCGGCTAGTCAAAGAACCTTTTCACTCAACGTCTCACAGCTTTTCTCTAAAAAATATTATTATTACACATTTTGACCCAACACATAAAAGAGTATAAAATAATACACCACAGTTAACATGACATAATTTAACAAAATACTCGTAACTAACACTTAAGCGTGTTTTATAAGATTTATATTATTCATTTCAGATAAATTAAGCCCACTGCTATGCAAAACTATAATGTAAGCCTTGGCTTTAATACTAATATTTACTTGCATTTTTACTCATATTTGCTTTGCTTGGTTTTTGAATAAAGATATTCAATATAAACACCACTAGTAGCAATAATTGATTTTAGCAACTGACGTTATAACTTTATTACAGCCAGTAAATTTATATTTTTTCAAATCTACCTTCAACTTTTAGTAACTACTAGTTTAAAATGTCAAAAAATGAAATAAATTATTTGACGTTCAATTACTTACTATAATCATACGCATGTAGTCTGTGTATGTGATACACGTTTATTAAAGAAGGTCCTAAGTCCAACTAGGTATAATGCTATAACTTCGTAAAAGTGCTACTGGACTTATTACCGCGGCCCTACAAAGCATATATATATATGCACCTATACTCTTTGTAGGGATACCAGATAAACATAATAATATACTTATTTATATTTTGTATTACACATGAGGCGCTGGTAAGCGCGCCCACGCCGCCCAGTTCGCCAGCGGCGAATTGAGTCTGAGTGGAGGTCATCCTACCGTACCCTCTCCGCCGCCTCCTTCTGCGACATGACGTCTATGATCCCCTCCAATGACTGCAATGAGGACCTGACGGCTCACCGCCTCTTCGGTCACGGTCCTGAGGCGCAACACAGCGTCGACCGTCGAACGCCCCGCTCGAAAACCGAATTGGGCGTCCGACAAAACCGGGTCCACCTCGCAGAAGTGTTGGAAGTTGCGGGCAGAGAGAACCCTCTCAAAAAATTTACCCGCCTCGTCCAGCAACAGGATGGGCCTGTAGGCCGTGACCGAATCGGCAGGCCGTCCCGGCTTCCTCAATAGGACCAGCTTCCCTCCCCGTCTGGCCATTGTGGTATAGTAGGTAAAAAATATGAATTAAAAAAAACAGTTATGGTTATAGAGCGTCGAGCGAAATTTGTTTTCATTAAATCAAAACCGGTAGGTTCTGTAGAAACTCGCGCCAATTAGAAATCTCTAGTATCAAACGTTGCCATCATTAAATCATACATTTGATGTTCGAAAAAAAAAAAAAATTAGCTGACGTATGTGAAAATATCAACCAAATATTTTTTCCTAAGTCAAATTACAAAATGTTACGTAAATAATACGTAAATATCGGATATCAGATTCCTAAAGGGAATTTATAAGGACTAAAATGCGCTCTCGAAGTTTTGAAGTAGGCATTTAAGGTTTTTATTTCAAAGGCTACGCTATAATGTAGGCTAAACTAACATTTTACAGTGGCATTTCTTTGTAGCTATTTTATGACCGATTTTTAAAAGAGGTAACACAAAACATATCTTATTATTTATTTATAGACACGTATTGTTTCTTGTTTGCTAATTTACATTCAAAACACGAATACTTACTTTAGAGTAATTTGGCCAACGGCTCACGTCTAGAAATTTAACAAGTAACATTTATAAAAACTGACAATTATTGATTGCATTTGTTAATATGTATTATAATTTGCAAAGTTCATCTTTTAGGAAGGAGTAGAGAATTTTGTGTCCCCGAGATACAAGGTTAAGAACTACAACAAAAGTCAATCTATATTAATGTAAAAATAAACATATAGTTATACTCGGATATAGTATAGCATATAGTTATTTTTCACCGAGTGATTGAGGTTACCAAAGCCCAAAACAACCCAGAGGCAGGGAATTAAAAGGGCGTCAACGCACATATCTTTTTGCGAGTGTCCACGGACGGTGGTAGTCACTTACCAATATTCAGGCTCGTTTGCCAGCTATATCATAAAAATCACAACTCCTTAAGAAACACGTTGATAAAATATATTTAGTTATTAATTTTAATATTGTCGCGGTTATATTGTCAAACTTTGTACTGATAAATGTTTGTTGTGTCTCAATAGAAGTTAATCGATATCCAATTTAGTATTGAGCCACAATAATACCGAAGACGATGTATCATAAATATTGTATTATTGCAGTGTTTAACCACTCCATAATTTATTAACTTACGTTTTATTTCTCTAAAATAATATCCATCTTATTTTGTGCCTTATAAAGGTCACCCAAAGTCGATTTCAAATGTTACCGATGCACGAATTCTGTTTTCTGTGATGTAGGAAATTGTATCAGCGTCTTGTAAAATTGATTCGCTGTATGAAAAGGAAAACCTGTTAACCTAATTTTTCAGAACAGTTTAAAAGAATGTATGATTGATATAAATGACATAATTGAAACAAAAACATTACATTATTCATAATATTTCTTATAGACTCTAAACTGCGAGTTTATACTGCACAGAGAAGGATAACTTGACACAAACCTTTTTTTTTTTTTTTAAAGTGTGGAAATCCCCTCGGACCGTCACCCCACCGGGGTTTGCGGCGGGGTGGTGTGTCGGACTCGGACCGACTAAAACCACACGGTGTGCCACTCTGCGCCTGTAATAGGAGGGATCCGGGAACAGCTGTTGTTAAGACATCCGGACCCCTCCTAGCGCCTGCCCGCTTCTGGTGCGGGCTCCGTCTCAAAATTTTAACCTCTCTTTAGGCGACGTCCGGCACACGCGGACGCCGCCCCCTCGCGGCTGGCCAAACTAATGCGGGTGGAGGGGAAACCCACCCCGTCCACCCGCGGCCACACTCAGGGTGGCATGAGGCGGTGATAAGCGCCTTGACACAAACCCTATGTCAACCCGTCTGGCCAGCTTGGTATAGTAAGGCCAAAACCTCCTTTCTAAGGAGAGGCCTATGTCCAGCAGTAGACTATTAAAGGCTGTTGATGTGATGTGAAAACAAAAACATTAAGACATGTCTAGAAAATCATTTTTTTGTATATTTTGATATTTGACATTCATATATGGAAATTGCAATTTCTTTTAACTACATGAATAAATTAGGAGATTTGACACCTGAGAAATTACAACCCTATAAAAAGCTCTTTGTAACAACATCAGTGGTTTAATCACCAGTGATGTTGTAACAAAGAGGTTATTTTTGTTAACTTAGTTTTCTTTAGTTAGTGGGGCTAGCAGAGAGCTGGTGCTACTATGAACAGGGTGAGGATTGCAATAATAACCTGGTTGTACCCTGCCACGCTTCGCTGTGGCACATTTTGGTGGTATTGATGAGAAACGACAAACAAAAGTGACGCGAAAAATAGATGAAAACAAACTTTGAAGCAGGTTGTTTAACGTGCAAAACTTTAAGCTCAATCGGCGCAGCACTTTTTGAGTTTCTGAAACATTCACAAAACATCTTAATATTGTACATACATATATATGTATGTACAATGTTAAGTATGTAATACAAACATATTGTCGTAGTATCGATAATCTATATAGATTATCGATACTACGACAATATGTTTGTACAACTGTCAGTGATATTTTGACTCATGGAAATAAATTTATATCTCTGTCTCACAGAATTAGTTTAATACTAACTAAAACATTAGTAACACCTGTAATTTAAATATTAACCATAAAGAACTAAATAATAATAAATTTATAGACAAGTGAATGCGAAGACCATTTTGGATATATTTCAATTGGATAGCCTCTTTAAATATAGTGCCTATTTATACATTATTTTATAGAATTTATTTTCTTTTATATTTAATTAAGAACTGAAACTTCAACATAGAGAATGTTACAATACGACTAAATTAAGTTAATCCAAATGTTCCATATAATATAACGCAATGTATTATTATCAAAAACATGCCATTTTTTGACTATTCACGTCTCTGTTAATACAAATATCGAATGCATTCTTTAATAAAACTCATTTGAGTCGGAAATGATCATCGTATTCTATATTAATGAACTATCATAACCTTTAGCAGACACCAAAATGCGGTGCATAAAATAATAATAAAAATGACAAAAATTTGAAATAAAATGGTGAAGGAGATCGTTAGTACGATTCTCCCGAATACTTGGACATTGAAGTGCAAATTCTATACTAATCCAGCGAACATTATAATAAAACAAAGTTCTAAGACAAATGAAGAGGCGTATGAAACCTTTGAAGAATTCAGTCCACGTCTGGACAATGCTGAAACACACACGGTTAAAAGAACAAAATTTAACGTGCCAACGTTTATTTCAATCTTTGTTTTTTATATATGTATTGTAAATGTGATAATCTCGTGTGATGTTAGTGTTAAAAATGTAAATAGTAAAATACGTAAAGAACCTCATGATCATGACTATATTAGAGAGGAATCTGTGAACTGGTATGGAAACAAACGTGAAGTCTACGATAATTATGGTAAACGTCTACAAAATGATATGATTTCAACATCAGCAAAAAGGCAGAGTGATGATGAAAAATCAGAGAAATATGGGGCAATTACAGTTCAAGAAGTAAGCTATGACTATTATAAGAATAAGGACGATATGGTAAATGCATCAGATTATCCAGAATTTCATGAAATGCTGAGCTACATGCCTCACGATTCCCAAGCTGCGGGCCACCCTCATGATCTTGCATCTTATCCATACTACGTAAAAAACATCCAATTCAACTTAAGACCAGAACGACATTTGTTCAAAAAGAAAGTTGTTAAGCTTGGTGTCTTGCTGCCGGCTGATTCAAACCACATATTTTCTCTTGCCAAAGTTTTACCGATTTTGGAGTTAGCAGTTCCTGCAGTTACAAGGCCTGATGGCCCGTTGCCTGGTTGGACGGTATTGGTGGACTATCGAGATACTAGATGCTCTTCCGTTGAAGGTCCTTTGGCTGCCTTTGAATTTTATGTTCACGAATCAGCAGGTAAGAATTAAACATTTCGTATTGCTGAACTATACTCTGTATCTCTGAGTTTACGGCAATTACATGTGTTTCAGAGGTGATTGCTAATGGTTTTTTTAAACAGTTTTATACTTTGGGTTTATTGTTTTCGTTAAATTAAGATGTAATGTCTCAATATATTTTAACTTCTTTTTTAGATGCTTTTATTGGTCCGGGATGTGAGTACGTTATTGCTCCAGTGGCGAGATATGCGGGACCTTGGGGCATTCCTGTACTGACAGCAGGTGCTCAAGCTGAAGCTTTTGGATACAAACATCTTAGCTACAGTACTCTAACCAGAATGATGGGCAGCTATACGCAAGCAGGTGTCGCAATCCGTAAAGTCTTTGAGGTAAACCTAGACGAGTTGCTCATAAATGTTGTGTATGTGTACATGTACTCGTTAATGACTTCTGTTATTCTTATGTTTATCTATGTTGTTTTGTTTATACTCTTAATTGCGCTTAATTAGTTTTCTATGTGCTACGCTTTTGTTTTTGAACTTTGGTTAAAAAGTAAATTAATGAAAAATGAGAATTGTACTACAATACATATTCAGCATGTTTCTCAAGATTTGTTAGCGATACGCACAAAAGTTGAATGGGATGTGATGGCATCGGGCTGAACTAGAAATAGTAAAATACTGTTTAAACGTGAAACGAATTAGTACTTCTCACTGTTATACAAGTAATTTCTCAATATCAACTTTATATTATTATAACTATAAATATAAGGGTATATGAGATTGCTATTCCAATGAGGTACGGTAGTAAGGTAGTAAGGGATAGAAAATTGAACTGCAGTAAAGTAGGTTTTAACGGTGAGCGTAAACGTTATTGGACTTGTTGGAGGTGACTCTAACAAGCTCAATAATGTGTGCGCTGTGAAGATAAGAATCTTCTCTAGATACACACTCAGGTCGATGACTCCGTTTGTTAGAAAAATTCTCGAACACACGCTCTTATCTGTTCACCCAGGAGGAACTTATTCAAGTTGATATGGCATAAATATTAAATTAAGTTTCTAAGATAACAGTTTCTTACATAACTGGGTTTTGAAACACAAAAATGTCTGTAATGTTAGCTCCATCTGCATGGATGTGCAGTTAAGCAACTGGAAGCTACAAAAGCCTTATTATTAGTTCTATTAAAAAAGTTGGCAAAACATTTTCCTAATCCATAGAAATCATTATTTTGGAACACGATCTAAAGACCAGTGATATGTCTCCAATTTCAACAATAGCAATAGTTTAAATTACCATCTTGCGTATATGTTAAAACACGAGAAGCTACTTTTCTAAACGCTTTAAAAAGTTATTTCATATTTTCGGCAATGAAACATAGAAATTGTTATATTGTTACGTTGATAAAGCTCAAACTTATCATCTAATTGCAACTTTCTAACAATAAAATACTAATTAGCATTTAACTTTTCTTGGAAGATGGATGTCATGCCTAACTTTATAATTAGCTAAGTTTGGCTATAAATGCGCGGCCCTAATGAAAAGTAATAAGGCGCTAAAGTCTATCTACTTTGTCACTGAAGATTCTTGTAATGCCTAAATATGCGGAATTCATTTAAACTTGGAACAGTTAAAGTTTAAAATTTTCAATGGGCTATTTAAGGCTTAAAGTTTTATACGGCTCTTAAAATTCTTAGCTACTTATTTTGATTTCTTATTTTCTTTACATAACTCAACAATAGAGATTCGTAAAAATAAAGAAAGTAAAAAAAAATTCGCAACAGAATCTTTCAGTTAAATCGTTACGAGTTTATGACAGAGTGTTTTACTTTCATGAAAATCCATTAACCTCATACATCCATTAACCTATTACTAAATAAGTCAATCATTTAAGACATTATATAAAACGTTTGAAACAATAATTATAATTAAGCTTATAGCTAAAGTGAAAAAGAGTAAAAATTCATAGCAAAAAATCGTATGTTGAAATAAATAATTAAAAAAATAATCCTAAAGATCCATTCCATATTAAAAGTTGTCAACTTATATAAATCATATGAGAACTAATTCTTTAACGATAGGGACTTACTCAGTCTTTTGATGCTAAAACAGGTTAGGCTACAGAATAAATAAGTATTTAAATTTTTTCTTCGATACTTTGGACAATTGTTATGTAAAAAGAACTTGATGGAAAGTAAATACAGAATAATAAATTATGCTATGGTATGGACAAGTATTTATCAAATTCACAGTAACAATATACTTATCAAACTTACAAACATTAACAGTAGCGTGCTTCAATAGAATACTCTTTTCTTTGGAGTTTTCTGCTGAATCCCTCTAGTGTGTGGTGTGGCTGAGGCCAGAAGAACCCATTGTACGTGGGTATAGTGGCAAATAATCTAAAACTGAACCAATTCACTGCCTTTAGCTCCTTTCATAGTGATCTGGTGTACACATTGGTCCAGACTAACGTGGAATCCTGCTATATGTCGGATAGAAACGCAGTACCTACATTGCAGTGATCCTATCTCTGGGTTCATTTGAAGTTATTGCACATAAGCACATAATAGTTTATTTATTCAAGATAATTGTGTACAACAGTCTGAGACTCAATCTCTCGTTCTTCGAGGCTGCTAACTTGAAAATACCCTACTTATATAGGGAAAGGTTTAAATAGAGAGACTAAAACAAAAAAATAACCTTCTAAAAATTTTTTTCATATATAATGTCTAATATTTTTGTATGCGTTCAATACTGTGAACATGTTGTTGTACTGTCCATAAACGTACTACCTATAAATAGCGGATCATGTCATGATGTCATGTTGACAGTGTGATGTACTTTTTTTACGCTAATTTGTAATTCAATGCTGCTTTTTTACCCTGTTTAAACTTGTTCTTTTTTATTTACGTCAAAAATGCATTTTCATGCTGATGACACTTTTAATGTTTTGTTTGTTGTTTTTAATATTACGGTACAAGAATTTTATAAAATAAATAAAGTGCTTATTCGTGATGTGTCTTTTGTATTTTCTATTTTTTTAAGTTTGCTTAAAAATGCCAATTGTTTTTTTTTTAAATATTTATTTTCTTAAAATGGAATAAGTTTACATTGAAAGTTTTTTTTGCAGGAATTTCACTGGCAACGACTTGGTATGTTATACCACAACAACGATCCAGCATCGGGTAAAGGCAACAGCCCCTGTTTCTTGACCTTAAGCGCCGTATTTACTGTACTGAACAAGAAAAAAAAGGGAGATATAGCAACGGCAGTACCTTTTGATGAAACCAATACCACCTCATCTAAACTAAAGGAATTATTACAGAAACTATCTTTAAACACCAGAAGTAAGTAATAAAACAATAAATATTTTGACTAATATGTGTGTGCATTTTAATTATCACATCATAAATGGAGTCATCTATGTTATAATGTAATAATCTTAAATAAAAATTAAATGAGTGCTTTCGTTTAAAAATTTCTTATTACAAACATTTTCAGAATATGTATATCAGTTTCTTTTGACAATCCCGCTTTATATTTGCAGTGTACAACTTACAGATATCGTTTTAAATTCTTATGATTTTTATACCTATTATAACATATAGTCTGCTGAATCAAACATTCAGAAGTCTTTAGTGCTTTATTATATTCGATTGAAGAGCATGACTATAATGCTATATCCTTGCAGATATACTATTAAATTTTATTTTTTTATTAATAATATTGTATTTTATTTTGACATACATGTTTAAACATATTTATGAAAAACAACAAAATAATTATAAAATATAATTTATGATAGCCATTTCAAACCAGTTTATTATTAAAATCTATTTTTTTAAGTTAACGGATGTAGCGCTCTGCTACTGCAACTGCAATCTATGATAATAATGACAACTCTGCAAATAAACATCACAAAAGTCTAGAACTCTTTTATAATTTGAATAAAACATACAATATCGATATGTAGGTACTGGTATCAAAAACTTAACCTCTGTGCGCTTTTCGAGAAATTTTGCCTCGCACAATCAATCTTTGCAACAAATTGTCGTCAGCGGTATTTCTGGACCGACACGACCTTCAAGATAAGAGCGTAAGCCTTCCTCAAAGGCCGGCAACGCGATTGTGACTCTTGAGTTGCAGGCGTTCATGGTCGGCGGTAGTTGATTTCCATCAGGTGACCCTGTATAACGTTTTTTCAACGTATTATATCTAATAGGAAGAGACATTTCACATAGTCTTGATCTTAACAATAACAATTTGTGGTCCTCAGAAGTCGATTATTTAAACTGTTAAGTAAATTAAATTTTTATTTATTGTGGGCCTATTGACATGAAATATATACATATTTAACTGCTAGCTGACCCCGCAAACGTTGTTTGGCCATATTCATTATTTCATTTTTTTGTGAAAAAAATATAAAAAAATAGGGGTATGAAAAATATCTAGATGTTGGCCGATTTTCAAACCTACCCGATATGCACACAAAATTTCACGAAAATCGGTAGAGCCGTTTCGGAGGAGTTCAACTTCTAACACCGTCACACGAGAATTTTATATATTAGATTGTGTGGGTGTTGATGTTTCTAAACAAATGAATATAGGTTTCTTATCAGTGTAGACTTACAGTTACAACTAAAGACTAAAGAAACTAGTTTTAGGTAGCTTTAATAACTAGTATTAGTATTAAAACTGTTTGGTTGAATAATTGTCAATAGTTAAACCGAAAGCCGACTACGAAGAATATTTCTTTTTTCCACGTAATTAACTTTCTTTTTTTGAATTTGATTAAATTATTTCTTTATATTACTAAAAAAAAATATTCTAAGTAAATCAAAATGCTTTTTTTATAAGGCAGCCACATAATAATGCAACAAAATAATAATACCATATTATTATAAGATTATAATAATATAGTATTATTATTTATATATAGATATGTAGATATGTTAGGTGTGCAAAGAGAGAAACAGGAGTAAATGAAAGAGAAATAGAAAACAACAGGTGAGAGAGGAACTGTTCGTTACAACATAAATATAAAGAACTCGTAGGAAACCATAAATAATATTTACATTTTATCACGGAGCTGTTTCTCTTGTTTTTTTTTTCAAATTAGCTACAAGTTGAAATTTGACAGCGGATAAGGTATGGACTTCTAATTCGAATGAAATGTTATTTAATAAAGTTAGAGTTGTTTTGCGACTGCGACAGCGCCTGGAAAATAGTACCCAAGAGTAGGTTTAGTGAGCACTCCTTGCGACGCGTCAGCGCTCACTACCACTGTCTGTTGTGTTACCCCCTCTACCAAACCATATTTGATTCGATACTAGCAATACCGCTTGGGATATTCATTCTAAGTCTTTAAGCAGGCTACAGGATTTAGCTGGTATTCCCCTCGCACCAACTTCTACGGCATATAACGCAACAAATTAGCCATTTCTAGAGGTCAAAGTACTTGTTTCTTTTTAAAGCATGGTCTTTTAGTGTTCGTTTCCTACGGTAACGCGAGTTCTACTAATAATACACGCTGAATTGTCTTTGCAAAAATATATATGTCTGTGCTAGGCACAGATATCCTACGGTATTCTGTAATGTTTTTCATACGTGTCCACTAAATAACGTCCCAATAAATTCCCTTTAATAAACCGTAAAAAAATACGACCAGCTCTTGAGCGTGAAAATGAGATTATCTTTTTATATTTTACCTTCTTACCAACTCGTATTTACAGGCACTGACAGACATATATGTTTTATTTAAATTTTAAATCACGTTCTGTCGCATACATGAATTGACAAATCGTTAGATATGCAACAAGACATCACAACCGATTGGTATTTCTTTGAACGCATTCGTTTCTAATCTCAATTTATTTTCACTATATACTACACTTTTGCACTTAAGTATAATATTTTCTAAAAGAGATGTATAATATAGTACAAAGAAGCGATATTTAACTGTCAACTCTTTGTTTATTTATTGTTTATGAAATAACGGTTTTCTAAGTCATTGATGTAATTTTTTTATTCAATGATTGAATTTTAATATATAAATTAAATAACAATTAAGAATATTAAATAAATCTACAAACTAACTAACTAACAGTACACACAGATGTAGATGTAGTCACATTACTGATCTTAGCTTCGTCCTGACTCACTCAATCTATGAAGATATGCTACTTGAAACAATATTTATATTAGTATACTAACTGACATCTGTAACTCACAAATTACAAACTCTATGCTTTTTCTCTTCTTTTACAAAAAAAAAGAACCTACTTCTAATGTACTATTATTATTATTATTATTATTATATACTCAACAAAACTTAAGCGGATTCTTAATTAGTCGGTACAGATTCTAATAAGCTAAAAGAAAACTTTCTCCTTCAAAGAAATATTTATTTTGTCACGTTCAAAGTTGGATGGTGAAGATAACCTAATCCTACTGTTATACATTACGCACAGATCTAATCCAGTCAGACATCTTAGCTTCCACGTTTAATTGCTGTCCAGTACTTACCTCGCCAATTGCCATTAAGACAGCTGCACTCATAATAATATTTTTTTTGCCATCTGTTAGTAATAAAGAGGACCATTCAGCCTCTCTTTCGGTTTGATGTTAAAGAACGAAAATTATTTTAAATCAAGCTTAACTTACGGGATCAGTTTCAAGACCATTTACTTTTTCCCCGAAATTAATGTCACATATTTCACAATGAATTTTGGCAATTCTATTTTGGTTTGGTTCAAGATAAGTCAGGGATACCAAGATTATGAAATAAAATAACTTCTGCATGAGCTTACATTTTAACATTTATAATGCTCGAAATTACAATAAGGTTTATGACTCAGCAAGTAAACCGTTATTATTTATTAGGCGTGAATTTCAAGACACATTTAAGAGATCAAAGATTCTGTATTATACAGGTTAATGTCAAATCAGAAAATTGTGTTCTTCACACGTTTCTTGCACAGGTTTAACTTCATCAGTGCAGTTGATTTGATTTACTTGCAGTGACTGTAGTTTTTGAATAGTAATTTTAGATTAATAATTTAATTATTTTATTTACAGAGAGTAAAACAACATTATCCTTGATGAGATAAAAAATCTGATATCGATTCAAAAGTTAAGTCAAAGTAAATTTAAAAAAATGGATTGTTTATTTTTAATGTTTGCAGTATAACAAGGAAAGTAAGTAAATAAGTTTTAAGGAGGATTTTTGACCATGATCATTTATTCTACTAAAAAAAGAAAAATGTAACTTATATCAACCGTGGTCGATATGAGTTGGAAGAGCTGATGGAATGACGTCGAAAGTATCATACCAACAATACTTATTTACGCATTTGTTTCAGTTGTCGTAGTGTGTGCAAACCCTACCACGGTTCGGGACATAATGTTGGCCGCTGACGACTTGAACATGGTATCCTCTGGTGAATATGTTTTCTTCAACATCGAGCTTTTCTCCAAGTAAGTGTGTTTTGTTTGACGTGTTTAACACACTTCAATGTTTTCAACTAAATCCACACACTCAAACACGAACGCACACACCTACACGTGAACATTTGCAAATACAACAACATAATCGTGTACGCTATTTATGATGCCATCAAGACACATAAACAGTGACGTTCACTTGGGCGTTTTGTTGTTCTCAGTCTGGCCTCGGCATCATCGAAGGAGCCATGGAAGATGGAAAATGACACAGATGAGAGAAACGAGAAAGCAAGAAGAGCGTACAGCGCAGTTTTGACTGTAACAAGCCCAGCTCCTGAGAAGAAGGAATACCTAGAGTTTTCTGATCGGGTGAGACATTTTAGGAATCAAGACAATTCTTGATGAAATTTTATTTAATTTTGAAACTAAATAAGCTATGCTTTGAAAGATCTTAAATATTTTCAATTCTTTTATCTTGTAAATTTATTTGACATAATACATAACTGAAACACATTCTTTGCGCAAGAAATTCGTTTAAAACTTTTTCCACATTCGTGTCACTAAAACGTAAAAAATCCTCATAGTCGCACTAAAAGCTTAATTCTTATTGTGACCGCAAATGCAGAATTTAATAAAAAAGTTATAAAAAGTGGTTAAACGATATTTTTACAAGGAAGCCCCACCCCTCTCCCCAGTAACCCTAGCAGATACTCGTAGTAATAAAATTCCCTAATCTAAAAGATAGATTCTATATAGATAGATACCCTCCCTAGTAGATAAAATTAATATTCTAATCAAGATTATAAGATATGTAGTTATACATATTATCTATCCTGTCTATACAAAAACACTTGTCAACAGGTAAAAGACTTAGCCGCTACGAAATACAACTATACGTTCGGCAAAGGCGAGGTGGTCTCTACGTTCGTAGCAGCCTTCTACGATGCCGTGCTCCTCTACGCGCTGGCACTTAACGACACGCTACGAGAGGCCGAGAATCCTCAAGGTCCATTAGATGGAGCGGCAGTCATAAGAAACATGTGGAACAGAACATTTCAAGGTACAGTTTTCAACACAAATTTTGCACATATATTGAGAAAACAAGTTTCCGAGAAAACTTTGTAGTTTAAAGAGTAACGGACTAACGTAACGGACCTGAGTAACGGAATTAAACTGCCTAAATTCTTTACTTAATTTTTATTTTTAAGAGTTATTCTGTATTTTCTTGACTCATTTTTTTTTTTAAATACAAAACTGTTTTCTATTAACGGTTCACTACCTGCGAAAGCCAGTTAAGTAGCAATTTTTAATCATTTGGAAGTCCACACGTTTCATCAGTTGATGAAACGTGTGGACTTCCAAATGATTCATCATTAGCCAGGATGAGTTCATCCTGGCTAATGATGAAGTGTTATGTTAGTATCGCACCAACCGAAGTATAAGTAATAAAATAGATGTTACTTAAAATTACACGCCTCTAAAGTTGACAGCACAAGCTAGTTATGAATAAAATTATGCTCTGATTACCGGTTGACATGGAAAGATTGAGCTGTTATTTTCTTTCTTAGACCTACTTTTTTTTTCTTTTTTTTTAATGTTAACATATTTTGCAGGTATAACAGGAGAAGTGATTATCGACGCAAATGGCGATCGCGTCGCTTCATATTCACTGCTCGACATGAACCCAGTCACAAGCAAATTTGAGGTGAGTTTTTTTTTAATTTCTGATTTACCATTTGTTTTCTGATTTAATATTTCATTTGTTTGTAAAAATAAATTAAAATATCTTAGTAACTTTTTGAATTTGTAAAAGCCATGAAAATAAAAAATAACACCATTTAATTATATATTTTGAAGTCACCAGGTAAAACTGGTGAAAATAATATAGTTCTCGGCAATAATCGAGGCACAAATGGATAAGCGAAGATGTATTGGGATTGATTTATCATCCCTAACACAACTATTATTGCCAATATATCTAAAATAGTGGCGGTGACTCGTAACGTGAACTCGTGTAGGTTAAAAAAGATACACAAAAAAGAAATATCAAGATTTATCTGACAAAATTGTCGATATGTGAAATGTCGATTCTGTGATTATTATTGCGATTGTCATATATCTCATGAACTAATACCTCAAGAGCCTTAATAACCTAAGGAGGCTCGTGTTATATAACCTCATCAAGAAGATGATGTTGTAGGCAGTTCTCGTTTATGGTATTTATAATTTGGAGGTTTTTGGAACCCTAATTACTGATATCGTATATACCGCCCCTAAAAACGTCGACAAAAAGATTTTTTCGTGAGAAACAAGATCCTCCCAAATATGAGGCAATGTTTCCTCATACTTTTAAAATCACATTTCAAGTATAAGCAACACACGGAACTCTCTACAGGAAGAATCTCCGTTTTTTCCATCATGGGCTGCATGCTTCTTTTTTTAATGTTCAATGCTTATTAATTACGATACGTTGAGATTCTCATTTATTCATTTACATTTATAATATTCTTACAGAAATACTCCCAGGGCAATATTGCAAGCTTATGACTAATTATCCAAAAATCTTAATTACATACTCGTAGTTACAATTATAAATATTGGCTACAATTATATAAATGTCTATCTTATGATCTTACAAAACAGATTATTTTGTTGTTCATGTTAACATTGCAATAGTAAGCTATAAAACTTTGGGCCGGTATAAATACGATATGGGCAATATTTTTAATGACATAATTCATTGTTTTTACAATCATTTCTTCACTAACAAAAATTAACTTCGTGTTAATAGGTAAACCAAATTGTTTGTAACAAACTATGAAATTTAAGAAAAAAATAAACAAATTTATAAAGCGATAAATACACACCTTGTATACAAGTAAGTTATAGCCAATTTTTTAGTAATCAATGTGTAGAAATCATGGTATCATATCATATGGTATTAGACATTTTTACCCTTTTAGCCTCTACCCTTTCATATATTGATTTATTCATTAAAATTTTGTTCATACTTGCGTTATCGGTATAATTAATGTTCATATCACGTATGCAACAGTGTTGCGCCCGCAAAATATTAATTCTAACAATATTTTGGTAAAATAGTTTGTACTAATTAATGATTGTTTATGTTAGAGCTATTTTTATGCGAATACAATATTCTGTTTTATTGCAATAGTCGTTTACTAAACTAAACAACTAAACCTCCTTTCTAAGGAGAGGCCTATGTCCAGCAGTGAACTATTAAAGGCTGTTGATGATTGCAATAGTCGAGATTATTGATCAAATAATTATTACAAGGTTAAACAAATTGTGCAAATGATTACAATACATGGTACTATGTTTTTTGGCGCCATTGCAACTGTGTATTTATGAACTGAAGTGGAGATAATTATTTTTCATTTCATTTCATTTCAATGTTTCAATATAGTTATGTAGGTGAAGTTAAGAACTAGGTCTGAAGATGAGATGTTTGGTGCTGAAAGGTGTAGCTTAAAAACAGTCGGTAATAAGAACTTGTAAACAGGGTCAACGAAAGAGGAATATTTAGTAATTAAACGATATTACATCATCACCGTCCATAATTCATAAAGATAGGTAAAATGTAGACCCTACAGATGTTGTGCTATCTTGCTATTTTTATTACCTTTACAAATAGACTTCAGCGAAATACATTTACGTGTTAGTAATACAGAGTAATATGATCAGTGAATTCCTGCTTCTAAAATTAGGAACGCATTCTACATTTTCCAATACCTGAACGTGATATAAACTCGAAACATTATTTGAACACAATATTACAAATCATTTTGTAGACTAATATTAAATTCACTATAATTGTTCACTAGCGCGATGTTTATGAGAAGGATTTGTGGGAATTCCTAAAGCTGTGTACGATCAATACACTTTCATCATTCATTCATATCATTCGTTTATTCATTATTACCGTTTACCTGGATATAGGGGATTTTGCTATATAGAAATGAGTTAAGGTTCTATCTCTAGATAATATAAGTTATTGAATTAGTTTTTTTTTATTATTTAATACATATATAGTTTATTTTATAAAATAGTATAAGTTTTCGAATTAGTTTATTTTATTAATTGTAAACTATACAATTGTATATTATACAATCTAATTCATCTTGAGCGTTTTAAGCATTTTTTATTTTTTATGGAAATTGTTTTGTTTGTTCCAAAATCATCTGGTATTAGACATCATGATGTTTTGACATTAATTATACCGATAACGCAAGTATGAACAAAATTTTAATGAATAAATCAATATATGAAAGGGTAGAGGCTAAAAGGGTAAAAATGTCTCACTAGAATAGAAAATGGACAATGCAGAGTATGAATAGACAATTGAAGCGACTGACTACCTGAAGTTCCTTCTGTCTCTCTTGATCTCTACGTCTACTTTTGAACGTACGCCTCTCACAATGGCTTTTGGGATGAGTAGGTCTAAGGTTGCCTTGCTTTCCTTTGATGATAATAAAACTAAACAGGCAAAACTATTAAGCTTTTTAACTTTTTAAAATTATGGGTATTAGATATTAACACATTTATCTTACTTATGTACGTTCAATTTCATAGCACTTAATAAAATTCTATAGATAATAATGCCTTTGAAAAAATACTACTTAAATATAAGGAAAAATCTTGAGAGAAAATTCTCTCAAATACACAGTCGGTTTAGTTTCCATATAATATAAAACAGTTGATAGATGTACGAGCAAGCACGACCTCTTTCGCTTGTTTATCACCGTAAGTACGCGCTTGTTTGTAAAACCAACCGCTTTAAAATCTTGCTCGTTCGCTTCGGCAGCCCGTGGATGCACAACGCTTGGTGATAGAATATTCTCAAAATGAACGAATGAAGAATTTATAGAAGGTTTCCGTAATAATCCTTCTCTTTGGCAAATAAGAAGCAATGATTACAAAGACAAGAATATGTAGTTTCGAGCATATAATTATTTTATTAGAAATTATACGTAAGGTGAAAAGAGATGCTACTATTGATTCTTGACGCCGAAACAAACCACAAAGGTCTTTTTTTAAAAGTAAGTGTACAATGTTAAAGAGAATATCTGAGTGCAGTATAGGGTTTGGGTTGGCCTTTTGAAGAAATAACCATAGTTTTGAGTCGACCCGTCCATACAGTCTGCATACAGGCCCCAGTCATCGTGTTGCCTAATCGATATAGTCGGGATCAAAAACCCATTAACGAAAACAACATTAGCGATATCAAATCATTTATTCGTTATGGACATAGCGATACAGAGTGAGGGAGCTTCACGTTTATCACCAACGTCAAGCCGAGTAAGTGCGCGTACTTTAAAACCACCTACTTAAAGTTCGTATTACCCACTTACTTTATATAGGCTAGGCTAGGCTTGACGGATGACGGAGCACTATACGGTTTTGGTCGACTAAAACTAGTTTTATTTGACTGCCTCACTGGTGCAGTGGTAGTGTATGCGACTGTTTTTGGAAGGTCTCGGGTTCGGTGCCCAGGTCGAATCAAATGTTTGTATTATCTTCAAATATTTGTTTCGGAGTTTTGTAGTTTTCTATGTATAATATGTATGTATTCACAAAATAAAAGTATTCTATCAGTCAATCTAGTTCACAATACAAGCTCTGCTTAGTTTGAAACTAGATGGCGTTGCTTATTAGATGTCCGAAATATTATTCTTATTATTATAATTCGAATCTGACATAACACCTTTATCCTCAGTGAAGTGGAAACCCAAGGAAGATTCCACAAAAATTGCACACAATTTTCAATTCCACAAAATTGCTTGGTTTAAGAACCATAGGATTGTTTACAGTGTATTCGATCCGCTTGTGAAATAGACACAAAAATATAAAAACGGTTTGTCATTTTATTTACACTCCAATTTCTTAGGATAGCTTTTACGACAGATTAATGAATGGAATATCTGTCTACGGTGACTGTCACCTGTACACTACTATACAGATATCAACCGTTTTTTTGTCTTCGGGGTAGGGTTGTGCATGCACTTCTGATTCAAAGACAAGACGTTTTCGAATTTAACGTACGAGTATTTACAGGATCGGTATTGCTGTACCTAATCTTTCCTCGTTTTCAATACCAAAACATTTCTGGTAATAAGTCCCACCTGGTTACATTCAATTTCATGAAGAAAAGGCAAAGGAGTTTCAGGAGCCAATGGTATTGTTTTTATGTTTGTTACCCTAGAACACTTAAGATCCGATTTGGAAATTGATTTTTATATGATACCCGTCACCATGCAAATTTGTAGAAGAAACAGCACCTCTAAGGCTCGAACATTAAAAATTCATGATGTAGGCGCATTAAAGACTGTAAACTTTTTTGACACTTTTTCAAAACTTAATTATTAATTGAAATGATGTTCAGGAGCAGAGTTTTGACGATACCGTTCCGAATTTAAGTGCTTTCGCAACTTCTAAACTATTATGTCAAAACTTTGAGACTGCTTAAAATTGTCCTTCTTTCATACACAATTTAATATTTCTATATTTTTGTTTTAATGCATTATTAATTTAAAGTTTTAGTACGATTTGTGCGTTTATCTTCCAAGTTAAAGCCTAAAATCTCGCAACGGTAAACCATTTAGCTCTAGTATTATTTGATAAAAAAAAAAAAAAAATCCTCAGTATATTGGTTTAATTTACCCGCAGGCTTATCTGCTTGTAGCTTATATAACAAGATAATAAATACAATATTGCGTCTAAGTTCGCAACTAAAATAAACACGATTCTAAACAGTAAAGATGAAATGGTTACAGTAACGGTAGTTGTTGTTCCCGGGACTTCAAGAGGGCGGTGAAAGGTATTTAAACATACCCCTATAGTAAGCCCGAAACCCTTTTTGTTAACTCATCCTTTGTTGTTTGTAATCTTCTGGTATGTTACGAGATTCAGAAAGTGGTGCTAATGAACACGCGGTTGGATTTTAGTGTGTTCCACTTTGTTCTTGTCTGTTATTTTATATTTAAGGGTCAAAGGTACTTTATGATTTTGAATTAAATCCCTGTTAGAAGATACAAGTATCGTTTTGCATGTAGACTTATATAATATAGATAGATGTGCTGGCTATCAGTAATGGTATTTACTAAGAAGGCCAAAACCTTCTTTTTAAGTAGAGGCCTATGTCCAGCAGTGAACTATTAACAGCTATGCCAAGTAGGTAATCTAGTAGAGAGCTATTGCACTTTTAGTTACTTTTCTCTTTACATCATGGTGTTTTAAGTTAGTGAGTGCGACTACCGAGACCTAACCCTGCTCTCCTATTTCTGAGGAACACAACACTATTTAACACAAATAAGGACGGTGAAGCACTTGTCTCCTTGTTGCAGGTGTCTATAAGCACCGTAATCATTTACAGCAGGTGACCCGTTTGCTTTTTACAGCAAAAAAGTAGTGGTCGAATCGCAATGAATTCGAATCGACTGTTAAAAAATTAATATAAAAAACTTTTAGCAAACGCAAAGAAACCAATTGTCTGTAATACAAAATATTTGTCAAGCAAACTAGATTTGGTTTAGGTTAATAAAACATTATGATGTTTTCAGTATTATCACAGAATGGAGAATAGTACGGATGATATTGTACAGTTAAAGAATAGAACTTTTTTCCCTATAGTAAAATAAAGATTTATATAAGCTCTTTAACAGAGCGTGTCAGGGTTTTCAATCGAAATCTAGCGTGAATACAGGATAGAAAACAAATATATTTGTTATCCTGTCCCGTCTTTACTGACGTGTCGGTAAATAAAAAAGTAAATCAATATTCCTGAAGCTAAGTCGGATTATCTCTAAAAACACAATAGGTAATACAAGGAGTATTAGTAGTAAAGGACATTTCAGATGACAATCCTACCATGTCGGACTTTTTTAATTTTAACACAGACTCATCGCTTTATTTCTTTTTTTTTCGATATAGCCAGCATTAAACGTAGTTACTGTTTTATTAATGAGATTAATTACTACGTGTTCTAATTTTAAATTTCAATCATCCTACAAAACAAGAAAAAAGTGAAACACATTTTACTCCACTAGCTAAAGTTTATTATAATACTAGCATTTATAATAAACTCTTAGTACTTACTCAATAGACAACTAATCTAAGGGAGGTTATATCTATTGTCAAACAAGACCAGAAAAAATTAACAACATAAATCGACTTATTAGGGACGTCAACCGCCTTCGCAAAAGCAATAAGCAAGTTCCAATTAAGAGATGCTCTCGAACGGTCTGGCAGAAAACCGTTATTGATAAAAATCAAGACTCTTTTATAACACACTTCAGTTTTTTTAAAGCTACTTGTTTTGTTAACTTAGTAGGTTTTAAATATTACTATTACAATTATTTAGGATACGCTTAATAATGTTGGGCCTGTTGGTCTAGTGGTTAGTGACCCTGACTGCCAATCCAGAGGTCGTGTGTTCCATTCCCACCCAGGACAAATAATTGTGTGATGATCACGATAATTTGTTCTGTGTCTGGGTGTAATTTATCCATAATATGTATGTATTTAGAAATATATAAGTATGTTTATCAGCAGTCCGGTTACCATAGTACAGGCTCTGCCTAGTTTGGGATCAGACGGCCGTGTGTGAGATGTGTGAAATTATTATATTATTATAATAATGTAGCTAATCTATCCATATAAAATTACTTGCCCTGACTGATTGATCGATACGATTCATCAACGCAGAGCCTAAACTAATGGAGCCAACTTGAAATTTTGGCAGCTGATGTTTTTTTTTAATATTGTAAGCACTCCGTTAATAGGGGTTTTGAAAATTTCATTCCTATGGAGGTAAAATAAGGGATAAATGATTGAAACATGAAAACCATACCAATATAATAAATGCGAAAGCGTGTTTGTTTGTCACGCTAAAACCGTTTAACTGAATTATATGAAATTCGGTATAGAAATTGGTCTGAGTCCCGGGAAAGGACATAGAGAAATTTTTATCATCCTTTAATAAGGTGAAAATGGGTCAAAATCGATTTTAATAAAATTTTGAACAGAGAGACTTTGCTTCTCGAGGAAATACATAGGCTACTTTTAACGCTATACACACGCGGGCAGAGCCGGGGGTAAAAGCTAGTAAGAAACAATCACGCGAGCTAAACCGGCAGTAGCTAGTAAATCACTATACAACGTCAATGTTTACGTTACACAGTACTTCACAAAGTGGTTTTTGTACATGCTTTATCGCTAAAAGTACTTTCTTTTAGGCAACCTTAGAATGGGCAAAAACGACAGGAGATCAAATTGTATCTTAATATGTGCCAGTCATTTCAAATCTGTATAATTAAAACTGACTTACTACTCACAGTTTTAGTAGCGTTTATATTACCACTATTCCGAACCTAAAGAGAAACGTAAACTTCCAAGCTTAATTTACTTCGGGAATTGGGCTAGTTGATTCAAAAGTATGTTTTAAGCGATCGTACTCGATCAACTAAAAACGTATCAAAAATTTCAAATAAGACAAAACAAATCTACTTTTCTCAATATAGATATTGTATATTTTAAATCGTGTATTAAAACACTCTAGTCCTTGCAGATTATGATTTTTTGGATTGTCAATTAACAAGAAAGGTACGGTAAACGTTTCAATTCGACAGGTTTTTTTTTCACCTTAAGTAAAATTTTCAAGTTGGTACCAAAATGATTGAATCTTTTTTAAGCCATTTAGGGATTCCATTGTATTCATTGTTCATTATCCTTGCACAATAGGATGTTTAATTAAATAAAGGTAAATTTATATTTTGGGGAAAAATCCATTGAAAGGACAGGTACAGATTAAATTTCATACAGCTATATACTACTTTTTACCGCGAAAACCGGTATACAAGGAGGGAGGGGTAGTAGCGGCCTAAGTGTAGTAATAGACAATCGATATGAATATTCATAGACTTTAGACATAGACCATAGTTTTTGGCAGAATCAGTCTTCCACTATTGTTGCTATTCTATGTGTTGATCTATGACTTTAAAGTCTACATAAAAGACGATTTCAAATATATTGTTTTTATAAAATCGACGATCGACCAAAGCAAGCCGCAACTTCATAAAACTAATCAGTGTTGCTGTTTAAATGATAAATAGTCACGCACTGAAAATTTTTAAATATTTAAAATAACTGTGGTTCAACTATGTTTGTATGAATGTATTAAAAAAGTTATTGAAACCAGCAGTGTAAACATGTGGGTATGCAGAACTGGTCAGTGCTGCTGTTTAAATGATAAATAGTTGTGAAGTGATAATATTTTGAAACAAAACAACACACAAAGGACAAAATAACTGTGTAATAGTTACTTCTAGTACTCTCGTATAAAATGTTAAGATTCTCAGTTCACAATAAAATATTATTTACCCTAATATAATTTTGCTGAACAAATTCATATTGTGTGTAAACTCTAAAAGAAGGTTCATCTCTTAAAGATATTTTAAAATTGTATGTTCAAGCCAGATGAAAGGAAAATAAAAGGTCTTAGGCAAACATTGTGATAAAAAATTCTTGATAAACATTCCGAAGTGTAAACATTTATCTTTGAACATTCGTTTTATTGAATAAATATTAAAGGTATTATGATCAAGATTTAAAAATCTCAAAATGGATAACAGAATATTCCATTTAAAAAAGATCTTATTTTAATCTTCTAAAAACGTATTATAGGACTACCAGAATCTCACGGCAAATAGGGAAATCTCAATTAGTTCTGTGCAAGCCCAGGAAAGTTGAATTAAACAATCTCGACACTTATTAAATAGACTATTATTTTAAAATATTTAAAAATGCTTTTGCATATCGCATCTGAACACTATAAGTTTTTTTTTAACCTTCAATGCAGACGAAGCTTTTCCCTTAGTTTAACGGTACGTCTGTGCCTCTGTATTCCAGTTCCTAAACGGCTGATGAAACGGTTTTGAATTAACTTTTTTTTGTATCACTTTGTTTAGGTTCTTAGTTCGAGAAAATCTGTTCAGCCTTTCAAAGACCGTTATTATCTAATTGTTCAAGGAATTTAGGAGGTGGTAGACTGGGTAGGTACGTACGTGAAATTTTAAATAATACTTAACTCTTTTAACAGGTGGTGGCTACATATGTGGCTGCTAATTCATCTCTTCAATTCATTGAAGGTCGGCCTATCCATTGGGCGGGAGGCAGGACCACCCCACCGCCGGACACTCCTCAGTGTGGGTTTGATGGATCTCTCTGTCCTGATAACTGTGAGTATTTTCTCTAATATTCAAACATTTTAATCCGTCATCATTATAGTTATATTCGTATTACTTATACGAAGTACTTCTACCTGGTCAATATAATACCTATTCAAACAACAACGTTTAGTGATTGCTGCCTGTGTTCAAAATGCATTACACCTAAATGCATTATAAAGATACTGCAATTTTTTTTTTTTTAAATAAGCGATATATATATACCAGTGAATACATTTTGTTTAAATTTTTCAATTTTTTAAGAAAAGCATAAAGTAAGTATGGCAGAAATGAAAGTGATAACAATCACACCACAATGTACATCAGAGGAAACTTATACCAACTTACAGAGTAGAAAAACCGTCTAACTAATTTTACTTTCACCTATTAAATATTATTGTCATTTATCTTCATAATTAAAGTCGTCTTGAACCTTTCTCCAACAGATATAATTTAATTACACCGTAAATATAACTTTCTACGTCGACGAACCATTGTTCAAACTTGAAGACAAATTTCATATTCATTACAAAAGTTTTGCGTCTATCACAGTAGATAAGCGATTAAATGTAACCAATCATTAGGATTGAAGATTTAGCAGTGCTCGGAAAGCCAATAAAACTTTTTTCTTGATCAATGCTTTCACAGGACTAGGTGATTAAATTATTCACAATTTATTTTATAATTAGTGTAACATCTCTTCAAGATTTTAGCCGGCCTCATGAAATTATAAAGTTTAAGTAATAACCTTTACAAATATCGTAACTAGTCGGTCCTAGGGCTAATATAGTATGTCTATAAGTCTACAAATAATGAACATATGAAGTGATTAACAAGATTAGTTGTAAATACAACTAATTATACTTAATCAAGCTCTAGGCTCCATCTTAACTTTACATTTTCATTTATTTAAATTTTTTTTTTTCACACATATTGTGCTTCATGACTCACACTTTTGAAAAATCTTAACAATTATAAAAAGAAAAACTTCTTTTGTGAAATGTTTTACGAAAAGAAACATTTCATTAAAATAAAATGAGCTTTCATGCAAGGAGGAAATTGATTGTCAAATTAAAATACTAGTATACTAATATTATAAACGGGTAAAGTTTGTGAGTTTATATGTTCGGTATAAGCTCTGGAACTACATTTTCGAATTGAAAAAATCTTTTAGTGTTGGATAGCCCTTTTATCGAGGATTAATATAGGCTATATAACATTATGCTATGACTAATAGGAGCTGGGTATCAATGAAAAATGTTGCGAAAACGGGGAAATGTATTCCATTTCAGAGAAGTAGACGAAGTTGCGCGGGTCACTAAGTTGTATATAAAATATTTAATGTTTATTTTTTAAATAAAAAACGTGTAGGTACATTTACAAGTTAAGGCTTTTGTGATTGTGCGTTTATTTAAATGCACTAATCTTAAAATATCTTAAATCCTCGAAATGTTTTCGTGTTGAGTGCGCGGTGTTTATTATATTCAGTATATACTTTTGGAAGGTTATGTATTGACTAATTAGCAACTTAAAAATTATTAGGATAGCAGAAATAGCTAGTCAGTAATTGTATTACCAGTAAAGACGCCTATTTTATTTTTGAACAAACTTGCAGGCTAAAACAAAACAATATTTGAGTGCTATTTACAGGCATAGTCCACTGTTTTTATGTTTACAGACACTTTACAAAAGTGTTGTTTAGCCACAGAGTGCCACTTCACACTAAGTACTTTTCTAGCACTTAGAGCATTTCACAAGTGCTTTTAATTAAAGCCCGGGATGAGCAGGTTTCATCTTCTACTTAGATATAAGATAAAGCATAGCATTTGTTTCATTGAAATGTTAATAAACATTTAATCTCGAATGTTTCGAATCGCAAAATAAATTGCTTTGGACTTTGAAATAATTTACTGATTTTTTTTCTGTAATGCAAACAAGTGTTTTTATTTAATTATAGGGATGTTAAGCTTTTGAATGCATTGCAGCGAATTTAATTTGAGTTTCTTTGAAAAGTTTAATACTCATATTCACAGTTTGCTTGATGGAATGGCGTTTTTTGCAAAATTCTTGAAAGACTAGAGCTGTCGTTCCTTAAGTTTGAATTATACTGGATTTATATTGGAAATAGTTTAAAAAGTGAAATGAATGAAATTTTAAAACCATGTGATATCTAGTTACAATAAGTCGTGTTCTTCCGTCTTTTATTTTATTTAAACATACATGGATTTCACCTTTGATGTAATTGGCTATTATACATTCAGCGCGGCAGACTTTATTTAAACATATTTACTTTAAAGTATTTCTATCACACGGCGATGGTTTTGCTTGACTGCGTATACTAATTAACACCTTAATTTTGTAAAATTAATGAAGCTAAATTTATTTAATACCTGATTAGTACAAATACCAACTAGTTTTAAACATTCACACATTATAAAAGATTTTCATGACTCACTGCAATCCATTTTGAATACTTTTAAAATGAGAAGAAATCTCAAGATAAGCTGTAAAGCCTTCAACTTAATAAAACATGTTTTAGAAACATGTTCAATTCAACCGCTTAACTGCAAATCAGATTATAATTATCGTAATAAATTCAATGAAAGTTCATTTCACGGTGAAATAAACCCAATTGGGCGCTGGACTGAACGCGACAATTTAATGTGTCTGCTGCAGACAGAATGTTATTTATGTTGGAGCCTTTACGAACATATATTGTTTACATTATAAATCTGTGTTAGTTATAGTAAACGATAAATTGTCTTACTCAAGAGCAGAATTTTCTGAACTTTATGCAAGACTACAATTTGAGTCTAGAAAGCTATGTTAATGTTATTACTACCATCATTATTATTTATCTTAGTAAATATTTCTAAGGATGTTTTCTTTTGTACAAAATTTATCAAGCAGATATTGTTAAAAGGTTTCAGGATTATTACTTAAGAGGAAATTATAAAATAGAGGAAATACCCCGAAATAATAAAATAAATTATAAATCAATAAAAAAAGTAAACACTTTGTTGGCGTTTCTAGTACTAATAGTGACTAAGCTTAGGTTGCGGACGGACGGACATTGATATACCGTAAAGTCGTGACTATAGAAACCTAAAAAGCTGACTGCCATGCTATAATGCCGTCCCAGCAAATCTGACTTTATTTCAGCTAACTCTCGTAAAATATGATAGATATTTTAAAGCAATACCCGAGAATGCTTAGGCGTGCTAGAATTTTAATTTGAAAGTTGACTCTCGGGTTTTGGTAGTTAAGTTGGGTTGGTATTTAAATCTTTGTACGTAGACAACTTAAGTTATGCGTGGATAGTCATCAAACGTTGCAACAAATTTAAGTTTGTATAATGATGTTTTTTACAGCTAATCTGAATATAGTCATTTGTTTCAGCATTACCTGTGTATGCCATATTGAGTATAATCCTGAGCTCCGTGGTCGTCGTGCTGGCTATTTTATCAGTATTCATATATCGGTATGATGTTTTTTATAACCTCAAACTCAAAATATCTTTATTTCATAAAAAAATAATATTTGAAATAGTCTTAGAATATGAAGTCATAGATCAACACGCACAATAGCAACAACCTGTTTTGTCAAATATTTAGGAAAATGAATTTAATCCATTATATGCCTGGTTGAGCCTTATATCGTAGCCTAATAGTGTAATCATAGTATTATTTTAACAATTTTTTGGTGTTGCTTGAAATAAAATGTTTTTCATTTACACAGTCACTATAAGCTGGAAGCAGAGATAGCAATGATGACATGGCGCGTCAGTTGGACTGATGTACTCCAACCAGGAGGGCGGCTACGGGGAAGCCTCCATTCTCTTGCGAGACGTTATAGTACTGGGGTAAGACCTATACATAAAAAATTACTTGTCCTGTGTGACCCATTCATCCGCGCAGAACCTAAACTATTAAAGCTACAAACTTGAAATGTTGGAAGCTGATAATTTTTATATAGTAAGCACCAAATAAGAAAAAAAATATATAAATTTCACACCAAGTTCGTCATTTTCAAAGCTAGAAATCACGCGAGCTAAGCAGCGAGCAGTAGCTTGTATTATATAATTTATATGCTGTCTGTGAATATTCTTTTTCTTATTTTACACGTTCCCTGTCAATTTTAATATAAAGAAAACTATTACAAAAAGATCTGCTAATTAAGAATAACGAGCATTCACTGTTGTTCCATTGACAATAATTATGAAAATGATCACCAATCGCAATGTCATGTGAACAATAATGGTACTCAAAAACAGTGTGATATTGTGATATGTTTCGTTGTCAGCATATTTAGGAAGATACTAATTTACTATTCCACTTAAATAATTGCAGCGTCTGTATCAAGTTACAAAATACAACGAATAAAAAAATAAAACAGTGTAAACGTATCTTTATAAATAAACTCTACCATACATATAATGCGTATATATTGTTATACTAATGCAATCAAAACTTATGAATATACTTTGAATGTAAGTTAGGTTATATACAACAAAATATTTTACGTAGTTCATTCGATCATCGTAATATACAAGTTGCCATAAACACAGCCAAGAACATGCGAGTACTTTTCAACCAGAAAAAACTTCTTTTACGCCAGCGAGGCCACTAGCAACAGCTATAAACATTCTCCTACATTTATCAACTATATTTTTTGTCTTCTAAAATTTTGATGGACTTAACAGTTTTAGTAGTAGTAAAGAAATTGGAGAATTTCGTATTTCTTCACAAGAGTAAGTAGTAAGAAGAGTAGAAGACAACAAGAGTAACAAGAATAAGTAGTAAGAAGAGTAAGAAGTAAGTAGTAAGAAGTAGAGTAGAAGTTAGAGGTGAAGTTCGATGGACATACTTCACTATACTCTGTTCATTCTAACTTATTTTTTATTAGTAGTCAATTAGTAATGTCCTAAATAATCAATTTAATAAGAGTATTCTTTAACCAATCTAAAAAATTAAATAGCTAATTGTGAGTTAAAAACTGTATTTTTAATAGAAATTTTACCATCGCTCAATATATTATACGATAAATATAAGATGTCATTGTTAACTAAAATTTAATTATTTTAATGTTATTTATTGAAAATAAAAAACCATAAATGAAAGCTTTTCAAAGTGATTAAGAACAAATCTATTCAAATATGAAATTGAAAGTTTGCTGCCATCACTGTTTGATGGATTATGTTTATGATTATGTGTTCAAAAACCTACTCCATTTATACCAACATGTTATCTTCAAATGGTAATGAATAATGTATTTAAATTAAAATGTGTGTGATAAATAATTATTTCCAAATATGCGTTTTAAAGTTAACGATTACGATTACTTTACGAACATTCTCAAGCAACTGTCAAAAATGAGAACAAATTGACAGCGTACAGTTATTATTGGTAGTCGTACCGAACTTAGAATGACAGGCACATAAATAATTTATTTAAATCTATTATATATTACGTCAAGAAAATATGTTACCAGAAACCATATCATATAATAATTTGCAGAAAGCTAACATTTTTAAATAATGTGTGCTATAGTTAAAAATTACTTAAAAGCGGCTACATTAAATTATGATCTATTATATACTTACATTGTCATATGAAAGTCTATAAAATGACAGTTAAAGTGATACTGGTAATAGAAAAGAAATACATTTTAAAAGAGTCGAAATTCGACAGTGAGGCGATCTCTGGTCGATATTGTATCTTTATTACAAAATTGTATTCTAATTGTATTTATATATCATTCAAGCCATTGAAATAGACATATTTTAGATGTGTCCTCTAACTCGTTATACGCTCTGGCTCGAAAGACAGACTCGGATCATCAAATGTTACGTACTATTCCAACTTCAAATGACACGATTTGATATTTCTCACAGCTCATGAATTTCAATGCAGTAAGTTTGGTTTATTCGACATGTAAGGTCAGTAAGCGGGAATGTAGGTGTCGAATGTATATACTTTTAAAGTACACAGGACACTTTTTTTTTGAATTTTAGATTGTCAGTTACCAACATAGAATAAAGTTCGTAAGCATTTGGCATATAATCACTTAAATGGTAAAACGGAAACAATGATGACAAAGAAAAGTATGCACAACGAATTAGTGAGCTTCTGCGCTGAAGTTATGAAGGGTGCGCGGCTATTACGTCATGCGCCGGCGCCGATACTCGAACCCTTTTGTTTATTGAGTGCATGACTTCGATTACGCGATGCGACCACGATCGATATTTACTACTGCACTCTACGATTAGTCGTTACCTGCTGGTAGGGAAGTTATAAAACATAAGTGGAATAATAGTTTTGTGTGTGATGTAGGATTACGTATTCATTTGTGTTTTATTTTAAATTAAAATGCTTTGTTTGATGTCCCGGCGTCAACCGGTGTGACACCACAGCCTCAAAGAAAACTTGTGTTAAGCAATTCTATGTTGCTCTATACTTTTTCATCGAATGAGTGAAGTGAAGTTACTGAAGGACCCTTATTCTTGGGAACTCAAAGGGCGGCACTTGTATCGCAAGGAATTACAGCTGGACCGCAGTAGCTATCTACAATCGGGTCACCTGTCTGCCCGTTTCCCCCGTATTTCATAAAAAAAACACGTGTATATCTGCAACACCTTATCCACATATGTATGGTGTGTAGTAGTAAAGTAATAATGAAAAAAAAAACAATGAGGAAAAGAACTTTGACGCGAGATCAAGAGGAATTCTTACACAAAAAAAGCTTTGTGATTTTAGGTTCCAATAGTAGATAATTTGGATGGCCATCATTTCTTTCGGGTCCAGATCAAAAAGGAATTTCCGTCAATTTGCTTTGACCGTACCGGTACCGGTTATAACGATAACTTCCGTTACATTTCTTTTATTATTTAAGGACCATAAATAACTTTATATCAGTTGTGGCCACGAGGAAACGCGTTAGAAATGAAAGAAGATAATGGATTTTATCTGTTAAAACTTATGTGGTCTTTATATGTGATTGCTAACTAACTTACTAATAATAAGATATCTCAAATATAGCCATCTGATTCTATATAAATACTTTTATATAAGTTCAAACCTTCTGTTTTGAAAAATAGAACAGTTTTAGATGTATATAGTAATATGGTAAATGATTCATTGATTAATTATTATTTATTAATATTTCAGCTGTTTAACACTACTTACGTTACTGCTTTACAAACATTACTGTCGAAAATCAAATTCAGTATACTGACCAAAACAAAGTCAGATCGTATCAGAGCGATCGTATTAGAATACACCGAATGTAACAGTATAACCTCATTACTTTCTTTCTGTATGCACAGTTGGCGGCAAATAACACCAAAGATGTAAAAAGCACTAGTGAACCCATTCCTACCCATAAGAAAAAATCTTTATGAAAGCGCGCCTTCATTCACTTTAAAGTTTAATTTTGTATCTTTCAAGAACGATACTTTTTTTAGATAGAATTTTTATTTTTATTTTTTAGGATTTTATTATTAAAATCCTAAAAATAAAAAATAACAAAATACATAAGTCAGCTAAGGAATAAAGCCTACTAGAATTTGAGATTGGTGAAATGTTATGAAATGAAACAATATTAATTAAATAAATAGGGAGAACTGTAACACATGGAATCAATACGGGATCAATGAAGTAGCGGCAGCTAACGGGAACAATTTGTGACCCCAGTTTACCCTTAAATCTAAAAGAAAAGTAGCACCACTGGATAAAAAATTAAGGATTAATAGGTTGTGTAGGATATAGGAGTAATATCTTGGTATGGACATGTCGTGCGGTGGGATGAGGAAAATGTGGCGAAGAAAGTTCTAGGTAGGTAGGGAATTGAAGGGTACAGGAGAAGAGTCATACATACTGCGCCGACCCCAAATAATATTGGGATAAGGGCAGGTAGATGTTGATGATAAAATAGGGAGAATGGATCTAAAATATTACATCATAAATTAATCTCGTAATTATTTCAAATCTGTCAAAATTCAAAGGCTTTCAGAGAAACATAATTATATCTTGCAATTTTTCTAATTATTTCACCTTTATTTGTAGACAAACTATTCCGATGAAGGAACGTCACTGGCTGGGGACAGACAAGTTTATACACCTTGTGGTTTCTACAAGGGTTGCAGAGTTGCAATAAAAAAAGTGGACAAACAGCGCATAGATCTTACGAGGCCACTTCTCCTGGAACTGAAGAAAATGAAGGATCTTGAACATGATCATTTAGCAAGATTCTACGGAGCTTGTGTTGATCCTCCGCACTGCTGTTTTTTAACCGAGTACTGCCCTAAAGGTTCCCTACAAGATATCTTGGAAAATGAGTCTATTAAACTGGATTGGATGTTCAAAGTCAGTTTGATGCATGATATTGTTAAGGTAAGTTTAGTGATACTACTCATACATTCTGCGTCAATGAATCTTGCATCTGCGTAATTCGTCCCTTAAGCTAAGCTGATGATGATATATAGTAAACTGTAATTGTTTTGATAAACAGTATCATTTAAGGCCTATTTGACTGATCAATAGCTAGGTTATTATTTGTTTTTAACCCATTAGAGCTTTCAAAACTAGTTGAAAAGCACTCTGTATTTTTCCAGTGTTACTGTTGCTAAACCATGGTCGCAAATTCTGTGATTATTTGATTCTTTGTAAAGAAATATACTAAACCATACGATTATTTTTATTCAACGGTTAGAAATCATCTATTTCCATCACTTTTAAATTACTATATAGACGACATTGATGAATGGAACGTAGCAGTCAATTTTATAGCTCATTCATTTTCATTTGAAAATTGATTTTTCGGGTTACATATAAGTGACTCTAAAATATATTTGTAAATAAATACATTTGTTCAAACCAACAAATAAATTAATCATTTAAGGAGGGGCCTATGTCCAGAAGTGGACTAGTAAAGGTTGATGATAATGATAACATTTATTGAATATGATGATAAACTGTTCATACATATAATTTTAAAAAGAATATATAATAATAATAACAAAATAATAAAAGAATATTAAATATGAAAAACAACTGTAACATCCTACATTTATTTGGGATATTATCATAAATGATCAAAGAATAATTCAAATAGAAAAAAATATACACTATTATAACACCTACATACACAAACCAAATTCACAGGTTTTCTGTCTATTTCAATTTGAGCCCTATTTTACGCAGTATTTAATTTATTGGAATCGAATGTGCGATATACAATTTTCCACGTCGTTGTTTGCTAAATAGAAATTCTTTTATGTTCCTCACCGTTCTTGTTTGTTACTTTACTGACATTTAGACTGGGTTGAGACCCTTGTAAGAGAGATTTTATGTTGCGGACCGGTAAAGTCTGATAACTCGGTGGTCGTAAGTGATGATCCAAACTAAATTTGAGATCGTCTTTGCTGTTTATAAATCCCTATTCGTAAAAAACAATAAGATGGACTAAAACTATTTAGTACAACATAAGCTTTGAAATTACCAATTTGTAATTTTTTAACGATAATAAATTATTAGGCGATATGTTTGGGGCTGCTATAATGTTAAAAAAATTACGATGTCATTAACAGGTTCATTAAAAAAAAAGGTTCAACTAAGCTTTTATTTCAAGGAAAAAAGGGTAGAGTTTCTATAGCCGTAATCAAATATTGAGAGGACCAGATTGAATTACTCTTGAATTAAAGTTTAGATGATACCTTTAGGAATAATTCAGATTTGTTCATATTTAAATTAGTAAAGATAGCTATCAAATTCTGTATAATATTTTTACCTTTTTATTGGAAAGTTATTAAAGTAAAGTCACCTTGACTTTGAGGCCGACTTCATTTAGAATATGTTGTAGGGCTTGAAGTTGTTGTAACTCATTTCTAACATAATTGTTAAATAATAAGTAGGTATATGTATCTGCAACTCCAATGAAATAGTACGAGCGTGCGTGCATATGCAGATGCGTGCTTGCATGGATGCGTGTATGGAGTACGTGCGTGCATACATATCTGGATGCATCCTGTAGTGCAAGAGTGTGTACTGTCATGCATTTCTGTATATGAGTATGTGTAGATAATTATTGAAATAAATATTATTTCATAGGGGATGCACTATTTACACGGTACAGACATCAGGTCGCACGGAGCCCTGAAGTCAAGCAACTGCGTAGTCGATTCTCGTTTTGTGCTCAAGATTACAGACTTTGGCTTGCATGTGTTGAGGACTCCCGAGAAAGATTCTAGAGCTCATAGCTATTGGACACGTAAGTATTTTTTGGAAATAAATTACTTTTTATGTATAACTCATATGTAACTTTGATATCAAACTTGTTCTGACTAAAATTTATTAAAAAACCTTCTTCTAAATTCTTCTTCTTCTTTTAAATTTATTAAAAAACCTAATAACGCTTAATCATGTCATACCAATGTCTTCATCAATTATATTAATATAATGAATATGGGTACATTGCTTTTTTGTTCTCCTTGAACTGTTCCTTTGTATCGAAAAACAGGAATAAAATAGTCATATCACGTAAAAGATTTTTGTGAGAAAACCTGCTATTAGTATTGTTAAAACAAATCAGTATTAAATTAAATATATACTCGTACATAAGCATACAGTTTATTTTTGTGATCTTCGCTGGATTCTCTATCACCTAAGGAATCTATAAAAACAAATTCAAACGTCCTATAACGCTCCTCATACAGAGCAAACCAATTATATGGCAACTCAGAATGTTTGACTTTGTTCGAAATTATATTAAGCTCTCTAAGAAAACCTGACCTAAGGAAGTTTTAATTCTGTTTTCTCTTTGTAATTGACTTGATTGATTGATTGATTGATTTCTCTACTAGCTTCTTGGACAAAAAGAAAACCAATGTTATGTAAACATCTATTAAATTACTTACTATGATAATTATTATACTACCTTTTTATCGTAAGCATAAGGAAGGACAGAGAGTTATATTGAGAGTTGATTATCAAAAGAAAAGAATATATTTTTAATTAAAATAGGAAGGATGATATGCGCGATGATGAAAATTATTTATATTGAGCTAACAGTAACCTTAAGTAGTAACTTAGAGGTGTTGTTAGGTCAAAGGATTGATGAATAAGTTCATTTTTATATATAAGCCTTTATAAGGTGAGTCTTGTGTTTCTCTATGGATTCATTTTGATAATGTACGGTAAAAGCAGAGGCTGGTTATCATATCACGTCTAAGTCGACAAATAACCAGAAGGTATATCTATATTAAAGAGACGTAGCTCGTCACGTTTCACTAGGACGTGACCGAGTAGTTTTAATACCTAGGGAGATGATTATTGGTGTGAGTCGTGATGTGTGTCGGTATCTGTGTACGACGGGCGTGCCTTGGTGAAACGGTGTAAATGTTCAGTCTTCGACACCGAGAGTCGAAAAGAAAAGTTTATTGATTTTGCTTGTTTTTATCCTTTAGTAGTGATGCCTACTCCGGGGTTTTCTCCCCAAATTTAGGGGGAAAAAGTCTATCAAGGGAGTTTTTTAGGGGGTTACATTTTTTGAGGGTATTTTAGGGATAAAATTTCATTTGTTTTTTTTAACAAATTTTACAGTATTTTCTAGCTAGGTATTTAAAAAAAAATATAAATTTAAGATTCAATGATTCCAGTTTCATTAGATGGCGCTGTGTCTATTATATGGCAATGAATAAATACTTAGTCCGTCATGGGGAGTTTTGGTGTGAATTTAGTGGTTTTTAAAATTGCTTTAGGAGGAAAGTTTTTAAACAGTGGGCAACACTGTCTAAGTCATAAAGCAGCAAAAACCAAGATCAACTGTACTAGTAGTAGTTTACTATTTTATCAAGCTGCTTCTTGTATTTATATTTTCTGTAAAATTGTAGGTATATAAATACACAAAATTACAGTTCACTGCGGACAAGGTCAGCAGGAGTTCCCGAAGCCTTATCTTCAGATATATCTGGGCCATTTGCAATATAATGAGATAACATACGAGTACCTATGTATGTAAAATCTAATTTCTTTTGTAGGTCTTCTATGGACAGCACCAGAATTGCTGAGAATGTCAGAACCTCCACCAGAGGGTACTCAAAAAGGAGACGTATATTCTTTTGGAATCATTATCCATGAGATCGTCAACAGACAAGGCGCTTTCTGGCTAGGTCCTGGTATTGAACTGTCTCCCAAAGGTATGTAACAAACGACATTTTGTGTGGGGATTTTTTAAAGAGATTTTCTTTAAACAAAACTTTATGATTAAAATGGAACCACTACATTTGAAAGATAAAGTAGTGTAATACAGATTGCAGTGTATATCATTAAATACTTGAAATGGAGGCAACGATAACTGGTGAATAACTAATATTGATGCTAATTCTATTGTTAACACAACTTAAATAAAATTTCTCTAAAATTTTCTTATTTTAGTGAGGCGATTTCCAAAATGCTATTCTGTTGTTAAGTCGGGTTAACTTTGGTATTCATTAACACAGCATTAGAATTGAATCTGATATTACTAAAAGTTAAAAAAGAAAACTGTTACCGTTGCTTAAAACTAAGAATGAATCGATAAAGAGTGAAGAAAAAAATCTTTTGAAATGATGTTATTAGGATTTTAAAATTCCTGTAAATAATTATTAATGCATAGTATCTGGATGAACGAGCTTTGGTCGGTATTTTTTTTGGTAAATTTACTAAATGAGACCTAGCTAGATCAATTAATCGCACTAATTCTAATTAATAAAAATTGTTACATCTTCTTATTTTATTAAATGTAGTATAATTTTTTATGATATATCTAGACATGAGTTGAAATTACTATGTGAAGGCCCAAAACTGAAAGTGTGATAGTTTCTCAGTAAAGAGTGCCATAAAAGTGCTTAGATTGATTGCTCGCTTCGCTCACCCTGATATTCACCCTCAAACAGATTGGAGTTATCTTAAATTTGTTCAAAGCATATTCTTTACTTTCTTATAATAATACGTAGGTATGTCTTAATAATCCAGATAAGATACATGATAATAATATAACTGTGATTATGGATGAAAATTATGATGCCCATACCATTCCGCTAAAATGGCCAGAGGCAAAACATGTAATCGCTGTTCATCATAAATTTATACTTGATCAGTATAATCAACAAATTAGTCTGCATGTATTTAGATAACGTATATTATATATAATTGATATTATATTATATTGATAATTTTAATGTGACCTTTCTAATTTTAGTCAATCTATGACGATTAAAACGTCTATCAGAATAACAAATGACTAATTATGGACTATATTATATTATATACAACAGTTAATTATGGATTATACTGGACTAAATTAAGTGACTTTTCTATATTTAGTTTGACACAACCAAAATTATTTAAGTCCTACGTTTTCAGAATACGAAACGTTATTTGATAGGACTAAACTAATTTTTAGTTTAGTTTAGAGAGTTTTCGAACAAAAGAATTGTCACCATTGACCATCACATTTAGCGTTTGATAACTAAAACGCATTTGCCGGTGCTTAACTTAATGGTGCGGAAATAGCTATTGATTCTCATGCAAGTTTGTCCCATACTTGCATGGCACACCACCTATAAAGAAGGGAAAATAAATAACTATAAGTTAAAAGAACAATGAGTACAAAGAAGACTGAAACAACAGACAATATTTCAAGTACTGAAAACAGTATTGATTACATATTTAATGTGGAAAATGACATAAAAATCACATGTAACATCGGTGGAATAAACGTAAACATCAGTCATAGGATCCACTTAATTTATGAAGCAGGAACAAAATATTCTATAAAAGCACATTTTTAATCATATTAAGTTTACTGGCGAATGGTTCTCTGGCTCTCAAACGAACTTCATTAATATACATATATCTCATCGTACCTGTGAGTGGCTCTCTGAACCGAATATTATCAACAGCTTAACAATTATTGAAGTTTAACTAAATTAAAACAGTACAAAGTCAGTAATTAAAAGTAGTCTACATTGAAAGTAATAAATTAAAACAGTAACAAAAACTTATTAACGTTAAAACAAGTCACATCGAGGAATAGCCAATTCATGTTGTATTTGATTAAATGGTGTATTCTATAATAACTCTATACTTCCAAGCTAATGTTATAAAGAGGTAAAAATTTGTTTGTATGTTGGGGATAATCTTTGAAACTACTGAAGTGATTCTGAAAATTCATTCACTAATATGTTGCTGCACTATCCTTGAGCGTTACAGGCTATAAATTATATTTATATCGTCCCTATTAGCGGGTAGAGCCGCGGGCGACAGTTAGCGGATAATAATAATATCCATATAAAATGTCAAAGGTCATAAATCCTCGAAACAAATTCATATAATTCGTAAATATATATATATTTATTTTATTTATTTATTTTTAAAAAGACAACGCCCGCGTTAGGAATAAATCCTGTGTCGCGGGGGACTTTACAAACATACATGAAACGGACACAAATAACACCCAGACTCAGAACAACAATTTGTGGATCACACAAAGTGTCGTCCCATGTGGGGTTTGAACCCACAACACTCGGCGTAGTAGGAAGCGGCGTGGCGACCGCTTAAACCACTACGCCATCCGTGCAGTCCATGATGAATAAATGAAGTTACCATGGTAAAATAAGTGGAACAATTTATCAGATCATGTTCAAAAAAAAGTATTACAATTTGTTTCCTATATTCATGTATGAAGAAGAGAATATTTAATATATATTTTTTTTAAATATATTTCACACATCTCACACACGGCCGTCTGATCCCAAACTAGGCAGAGCCTGTACTATATACAGATGCTGGGGGCATTTGCTCTAGTATTCGTAACAAACAATATTATTTATCTATAATTAGCCATCCCGCTTCTTCATATATTTTCTCACGTAAAGTAACTTTAAATTGAGCGACTCATTTCACTTGGGTTTTACGGGTGCAACAATATTGATAATGCAGATTTTTTTATTTGGACATGTGTTCGGGCCCAACCCGCACAGCGATACTTCACCGCGCGTTTTATTTCTCAAAATTCTGTGACACGTGTGATCTATATAGGACTATCCGCACTTGCGAAAAAAAACCTCGCGGTGAAATATCGCTGTGCGGATTTGACCTAAGGCATTTTCATGGGAGAACACAGACAACAGAGTAAACTCAACAAATTGACTCTCAATTTGCTGTTAATTATCCCATGTATTTAATAATTACTTAAATTTATCATTTTATGCTAAATGATTGAATTTGTCATCTATCTTAATTGATTATACCAATATTGCAACCAATAGTAATTATACAATTTGTCAAAAAATTTGTTTGTAAAAGTACTTTTGTTCAATCCTCGCCTATTTTGTCACTCCTAATTTTCGGCTGACTCCGCCACGAATAACAATAAACATTACATCAACGTAGTGGCGTTGCAGTGATACAGCATTTTCTACATTTTAATAGTCTTTCTTTGGCCATGGCAACAGTAGGTAATAAATAAAAATAAAAGCTAGTTCTTAGATTAAAAACCATTTTCAGTTGCAACTCCAGGTCGTTTAACTTCAGTATTATCACGGTACTATTATAATACAGTATTGTAACTCGGCCGCATGATAGAAATAAATGCCTACAGCCGCGCGGTACGTAAACATGCGTTAGGGCTGCCCGTCTCCAGCATTTTAGTGATATTTGCCTACTTTCTGTTTCTATTTAGATTTGTGATTGTAAATATCCTTTTTATATAAATAAATGAAATACTTTGTATATTGAATAGGAATTGTTCAATAAAAATGCGTGTTGTTTTTTGATTGGTAGATTTAATTAAAAAACATTTTTTTGTTTGAAAAACCAATCGGGCTTATAAATTAGCGACCGAAAAAAATCCTTCTATAAAATAAAATAAATGTGAAACTCCAACACCTACCACCTACTCAACTAGAATGCAAGAAACAGCTGACGAGTAAGTAACTTTTTATCTCAGCTAATTAACGTCTCTATAAATTAGGTACCTACCTACAACTCGCAACAACTCAAAACAAAAATTCTTTGGTCACCAATTAATTAATTATTAAAAAGCTGAACAGCTGACTACGAATGTTTTAAAATCACAACCCTCAAACATCTAAATATTATATATGAGTCTAGCTGTTGTTGTTAATACCGAGAAAATAAAACCAGTTTTTAGTGGTATATGTTGTTATAGTAGCAGCAGAAACACTTTGTGAAAATTTCGAAAACTGTCTAATGACACACAGACGGTAACAATTTTTTTTTAGTATTATTCATACACACAGATAATAAAGATATATTATTAATAATAAAATACCACGTCTTTAAGTAGAATTTTCTTTTTTTTGAATTATGCAAAGTAACAAAACAAACATGCACCGAAGTTTTAACACAAGCGTAAGTAGGTAGGTACCTACCGTATCATGATTCATTCAGAACCGCATGTAACTCCCTATTTCACTCGTCTCAATAACTTTCCGTTACTCTATTTGCTTTATTTATTCATCCAAACACCTTTTTTTTCGTGAGATAAAAGGAAATACTTATCCATTAAAAAGACACACATTATGTACCTACGTACTAGTAAGTAAAATTATTTTATAGTCTTACTTTTCAGAGTTTCCAGGTAATTTAAAAAAACTTATGTCTGGATGCGTTATTGACGAATTCATACAACCAAAAACAGCACAATATTTCCTACTCGTCATATTAACTGATTTTTAGAGAAAAAATCGCGCGGTTATTGTTAAAAAAACAACACGCAGTCCGTTCGACACTGCGGTACAGCCGTGACTGTCTGCGCCCCGAGCGCACCCCGAGATCGAGGCGCGTAGGTATAGCTCCCGTTTCGTCCGTTTGTATGAAGTTGCAGTACTGTATTATAATAGTACCGTGGTATTATTGTATGCAATGCATTCTTCTCCCACTTTCGTTGTTACAATTTTAATGAAAATGTGGACATAAATGTTGAGTGCCTGCGTACATGTTATGAAATATATTTTTTTATAACAACTAGTTAACTGCATCAACTTATTTTGTTGTTCATAGAAATTATCGAGACAGTCATAGCAAGTGGTCTCAGACCAAACACTTCCCACCATCGGTCTTGCGAGGTTGACGATGCGACTGATCTGATGCGAAGGTGCTGGGCTGAGGATTCTACGGAGAGACCAGACTTCGCATATTTAAAGGGAGCAATCCGGCGCCTCAATAAGTAATATTTATGTACATATGTATGTCTTCATCTTCTGGGTGTAGAATTAATGGTTTTCCTTTCTGTTTATTTTCCTTTTAATTGCTTTGAACGCTATCAATAAAGTATTCATTACATATAGTTAATATATTTAAGTAATTTGATGTGTCTGCTCTAATGGCCATTCAAATCACAGATTGGACAGACGAGTACACTACCCAAGTCCCTTTGAGCTACTGTAGTCTTTATCTCGTTGTTCATTCGAGACTTGCCGTTTTCCCCACCGCAGCGTCCTACATCATTCTATCACCTAATTTACCTTAGTATTTTGTATCGGCTAAATACAATAACCAGCCATAAAAGATAGCAGCCAAAACCCTTTGCAATGTAACGCCAAGAGATCCCGATAAAATTGGAAAAGAGTACAAACAGAATGATGATATTTTAACTTAGTATACTTAATTGCAGTGTTTTGCTTCTCATTTTGATTGTAAAGTAAATTTTTTATCTAACTGTATGTATTTTTTTCAGAACTCAAGAAAGTAGCAATATATTAGATAATTTGCTTTCCCGTATGGAGCAGTATGCAAATAACTTAGAATCATTAGTTAGCGAAAGGACACAAGATTATTTGGAAGAGAAAAAGAAATGTGAAGAGCTGTTATATCAGTTATTACCCAAGTAAGTCTAAAAAAGTTATCTATGGTGTATTAACTAACCTATACCTATGAAATATTCTATAACATACCTATTATTCTTTAATATTGTTATGTTAATTCTAATGTTTTTGACTAATTTTGAACTCAATATTACTAGTAACCATCTAAATTAAATCCTCCACTTCTTGAAATTGCTGACATTTTGCGAAAAAAACGAAGCTATGTAACAATTTCCACAGAGATTTCTTAACGATCACGCTGATTAACTTTTTTTTACTGTTTAAGCTAATTTTAACAACAAAACATCAACTTTATATACTTTTTGAAACATACAGGAACTTAAAGCAAATTCCAAACGCGTGAGAATTCTTCGTATTTTGTTTATTTTGTGTGTTCAACTCAAAAAAAAATGGTCTATTTTGATGTTTTTACTCTGCTAATACTTTTATGGTATTGATGTTAAGAATTTTACATATTTATTTTTTCTGTGCGGAAGTGTAGGACCCCCTCCTGTGTGGGAACCCCTATGTAGCCTTTGTGCTCCCGCAGCGGGTCCGCCGTCACTCCGGCCTGCTTCTGCTAGGGTGACAGATGGTCTCACCTGTCACCCCCAGGCCTGCGCTTATAGAGGACGTTTTGCGACCGCCGACGCCTGAGTCGTCTGCGTTACCTGGCCTGGCGGGCCGGGAGAGTTCTAAACCCCCTTATGACCCTGATGGTTAGCACTCGCTGTGGTCGTCGCAGTAGTCCGACGTTGGTGGCCTTGAGGGCGTCCGCCATACTGGGGCCCAATAAAGGGCCATGGACCGCACAACTCCCGAGATCCGAAAGTCTCCTGCAGGAGTAATCGGGTCCCCTCATGTTGGGCAGCAGCCGCGCCAATGCACGCGCTGCTCCCACCGATTTGGAGACCCGATCTCTTAAAGGATATTCCATCTATCTTTTAAGTCATTTCCATTTTTGTAATATTTCGGGCGTTAAATCATTACAGTATTTTTATAATTATTTTCTTACATTAATGCTACTTTTGATATAATGGCTTCTTCAACTTTCAAAACCTTATCTACTTTGTCTGTGACATAATTCATATATTTTCTATGTATAGGTCAGTAACTTTACAACTAATCAACGGCCAATCAGTAGTCGCAGAAATCTTCGAGCAAGTTACCATCTACTTCTCTGATATTGTCGGCTTCACAGCGCTATCGGCTTCCTCCACACCGATGCAAGTAGTCGACTTACTGAATGATCTGTACACCTGTTTTGATTCTATCGTGGAAAACTACGATGTATATAAGGTAAGTGATATTTTATCAAAGTTTTAATATTTCATTAAAGTATTACAGGGATACAATACTGCAATGATTTTTGAAAAAATAAACAAATATTAAGTCTCTCTCTCTCTCTCTCTCTCTTTCTTCTCTTTTTATATGGCAACGTCAGTATATGCTTGTTTCTTTTGATCAGGTTGAAACCATCGGTGACGCCTACATGGTGGTATCAGGTCTACCAGAACGCAATGGCACCCGACATGCTTGTGAAATATCTCGAATGGCACTTGCGCTACTGGATGCTGTCAGGCGGTTCCGCATCAGACATCGGCCTCACGATCAGTTAAAACTTAGAATTGGGTTACATTCTGGTAATGAACTTTCGATATATGTTTATTCAAAATATGATTTAGTTTTTTACCCACTGCGGCGAAGTCCTAAAAGAGGGTGTCGACCTGTATGTCCATTCCTATATTCCTATGTAACTTTGAAACGGCTAAACAAATTTTGGTGAATGATGTCGATAAATTCGTATTTAAGGCGAGTGGCACAGAGTAAACTTTAAAATGAAAAATATGAATTCACCTTTAATTCTTACGAAATATTTGCTTAATCAGTCAATTTTCAAGTTCAATTTGTCAGTTTCAAAGTAATATTGATTATTGAAGTTCAATATTTAAGTATTAAAAACACATTTTTTCTGCAAATTGGCGCAGTCTTTATTACCTAATCTACGTAATAACTGAGGCGTAACAATTTGTTTTATTATAAAACAAATTGTTTAGATCTAATATTCAGACTATTTCTCATGGGTCCCTTATATCGTACGTATGTGTAAAATTATATTAATCTGAATGCTAGCTGAATTAACGGATGTTTTCATTTCAAGTATTCTGTTACAAAATGTTTGTTTAGAGGTAAAATTAGTGTTAGTTATGTTTATTTAAAAAAAAATCGTATGTTTATCACAATACACAGTAATAAATAAATCAGAATATGATAATAGTTGCGTATAAACGGTAATGCTGATATTAAAATTATTCTTTTTGAGTCCTTTTTAAACAACGTCATTTCCTAATAATATGTCAAAAGCGAATTATAACGTAATCGATCTTTTTTTTTATAACATGTTTTTATAAGTTCATATGCAAACAGACAAGTTTTGCGTGGAAGTTGTTTATGTAGTTTCCTGGCCTGTACTGAGTTTTGTTTGATTTTAGTTTTGTTTAAAAGTGTTCTAGGTTGATAATATTTTATTCAATTTTGATTCAATAAAATCAATCAAAACGGAACCAAAAATGTAAAATCTTAATATGTTCTGTGATCTCATGCGTTCCTTTATTCACTTTTATAGACAACATTTGAGCTAATATCACCTTTAAAACTCGCGTTAAGTTTTTTTATTTTATATACAAGTGTAAAGCTTTGTATCTTTTGCGAACTGTATTAAAAAAAACCTTATTTTTGAACTTCCATACCTATGCCGTTAAAATTAAAAGCAGCAACACAAAAATACCTACTATCTACGCTCCATATTCGTTATAAAAATAACAAGGCTCTGTGAAATATACTTGAAAATCATATTATTACGAGATACTTCTGTTATACACTAAAGGCAACTATTTTATTTAGAAATCCCTGTATTTTTCATTCATTTCAAGACAAATAGCTATTTTTATTCCAATTTAATCTGAAAGGGGACGATCTGTCTTATTTCATCTTTTTATAAAAAACTACTTAAAACGATTGGAGTACATTATAATGGATTTAGGTTGTTAAAATCTAGAAGGATGAACTAACATCATTATTATAAAATTACATTTTATCAACAGGACCTTGCGTTGCTGGTGTAGTAGGACTGAAAATGCCAAGATACTGTCTCTTTGGCGATACAGTTAACACTGCGTCAAGAATGGAATCAAACGGAGAAGCTCTCAAGATACACGTGTCCCCTGACACAAAGGCACTACTTGATGCGTTTGGTACATTCCAGTTAGAGTGCAGAGGAGAAGTCGCTATGAAGGTAAATACTGACATATTACAATATTAAAAAAAAATATATATAAACTAAATTTTATTATGACTTAACTTTTAAATTGGTGCTCTAAAAAAATTTTTCCACACTATAAATATACGAGTTGACTATTTCATACTATACGTATTTTACTTAGTTTTATGAATTGTTACTTTTAACAATTCTCTATATATCTATTACAAACCACAGAAGAGTATTAATAAAATAAAATCTACTTTAATTTTTACCTTCATCATATTTCAGGGTAAAGGAATTCTAGTCACATATTGGTTATTGGGTGAAAAAGTAGATCCTAATGCTTCTAAAGAAAAACCGTCATTAGTAAAAGCGCAGGCATTGTCAGCAGACAGTGGTTCATTATCACATTTAACTCCATTCAGGCAAAGAATGGATCAAAGTTCTAGGTCATCCAGTAGAAGAGGATCCGGGGTATACTTACAAAGATTCACAGATGTCAATAAATTAGAAAAAGAAGCACAACCGTTACTGCAAAACCTCAGTATTCAAAGACAACATTCAGACCCAACTGAACCAGTCACAAATGGTATCACTGACAATGGCGATGACCTAGACCGACAGAGTGTTTCAAATTCGATATCACTGAACGTAAACTCCTTACACAATAACACTGTAAACAGCAGTCAACCACGAGTCAAGTTGAAAGATTGCCAAAACTCGATCGTTAATCACAAAACGAATAAGATAGGTAATAACAATTGGATTTCAAAATTACCCACAGCAAGTTCCTTCGACAACGGTACAAAGAAAGGCAGTGAAAAGTTAAAGGATTACAGCAGTGTGCCATTACTGTCTAAAGCCGATACACTAAACGATTCAATTGTATAGGATGTTATAGTTACTGTTATGTTGCGATGGACTTAAGTATACATTTTTAAATAGTAATAAATTCAAAATGCAGCTTTGTCGTTTTTTGTAAATCCTAGACATGAAATATTAAATATAGAAGCATCATATTATTGCCTGTTTGTAGCATGTCTTCTTTATCTTGAACGTTCGCAATGTAACCTTTTTGTTGCATAAAATAAAATGTAATTTAAAAAAGTTTTCGATAAAATTGCAATGAAAAATGTTAATTCACATTATTTGTAAAATATTTGATGTAGTTATTCCAAGAACTTTTTTTTTAACCATTGTATAATACACCCTTGTGCAAAGTTATGTGAAACATACACAAATTTAAAGAAATGTCAACAAAATATAAGTTGACTTGTACTCAACCAATTCGATGTTTGATATCAATAATTAAAAGATTAAATACTTGATGTCTTGATAGTTAGGCATCGGTGTATGCTGTTGTTATATGTGTGTAAAATATTTCCCTGATATCAATATCATAGCTTAAAACCTTTATAAATGTTTTGGAAACTTAAATCTAGAAATTTGCCACTTTTAATTGAAGAAATAGTAGTCAGCTGTGGTATGCTATGCTCTGCATTCTCTAGAAGAACTTCATGTTGAAATTCTTGAGAAACTTTACACAGAGTTTACAGTTATGTGAAGTGTTTTATTTCAGCGGTATCGGGGACTCACACATTGGGAACATATTATAATATTCACGGTAAAGTTAACAGTGAACTCATAGTGAACTAATAGATTGGTCTGTTATTAAAGATTATTTTATCAATTATTGACTTTTCTTAGAACTTTGACGTATTCTCGATGTCCTCTCTATAATATTAAAGCTTAAATAAGGGTAATGTAATACCTTTCTAATATTTTTCAAAATAAAAATGAGAGAGTATTTATGTTGTACATTAGTCATAATTGTTAATACTTAGCGTTCGAGAAATCCTCGACCTTTGCTAAAGTATGCTCAATTTCATAATTTTTATTTTTATATTTAATTTCATGTATTCAAACAATCAATTTTTGTGATAGACATATTATTTTTAACATTCCAAATACATATTATACATGTTGTGTTATGATTTCTAAACTCATAACTTTTTCTGAATTTCACCTCACCAAATTGAACTTTAATGTCATAAAATCATTCTTATGAGAGCATATTTAGCAATGTATATTCGTCGCTCAATGTGTAGGAGTACCTTTAGTAGTTCATTAAACATTGTTTTAAAGATTTCTATTTATTACCAGTGATGAGACTAGCTTGTAAATATATGTACTTAATTGTTTATTTAATGTAAATAATGTCTTACTTATAACTTTGTTGTGATTCTAGAGAGGTATTCAACTGTAGGTGAATAAATAAGAACCTTAATGTTTCTTAAACGTTAAAGCAAATATAATGAGTGAGAATTTGTAAATCGTTTCATTTAATATACGTTACTCCTGTCCTGTTACTATGTCCTTGTTTTTAGAGTTGCATAGTCTATTAGCAGTGACCCGTTTGCTTAACAATAAAAAAAGACAGAAGTGAAATCGATTTTATAATTTTTTTCTGTTTTTTTTTTATTTTATTTATGGTCGAAGTTGAAAAGTTGTGAAGCATGGCTAGTCACTTACATATTCCCAATTCTAACTAAAAAAGAGTTATTCTTATTTAGTTAGTTATACCCACGGGATGAATAGGCGTGGTGAGTATGGAGTATCACCACCTCTAAGAGTAAGAGCCTACTAAGGGAGCAAAGAACGCAGGGTAACAGCACTGCAAAGAGAAGGACACATTTCTTTTATAAATAATTACTTAAGTATTAATTAACTTAGCATTCTTTGATGCATTAGTGACTAAAGCAACTAAATCGTTCATTCACTTATTCATTTAATAAGAATAATGAACACGAACACATCAACAAAGTAGTATAAAATAAGGTTAAAACGTAATTAAAACTTTTCAGATTTTACAAAGTTAAATAACGTCATTTTTTTAATTATTTGGTAATTCAATATAAAGTGTGACCGCCTCTGAAGCTTGTTGGCACGATTTTTCATTAAATTTATAAGATTGTTTATCTGACCCTGCGGCAATCACTCCCAATTGAGGTTGGGCACCAAGTCCACGGCAATACCCAGATGTTCAAATTGCATAGTACTCTCTGGCCCTCCGAGTTGTGTGCAAACACGCACTGTCCTGCATCAGCGTGAAATCTGAGCCTAGACTTTGTGCAAATGAGCGAACATAAGGCCCGAGAATATCTTCAACACAAGTTTCAGCATTCATATTGCCAGCTACAAAAATGACTTCAATAAGTCTCTTCTTCATAACATCCGCCCATACTATCACTGTTGAACCACTGTAAGGGTGCACTCTTACTCTTCTTGTATTAGGCCTTGTTGAAATAAGTTTGAAATTGTCGCTTTCACCTATAGTGTCAAAATTGTATGAGAGATTGACACATGCTATATAGTTATCTATGGTACTCACTTATTGTCTTGGGTTGTATCCGTGTGGTGTGTATCAAATAAAATTGCAAATCTAAAAGTAATCTGTTTTAATCACAACGAGCCTAAATCCAAACCGGGACTCATCGCAAAATAAAATGTTATCCCATTGCCCCTGGATCTATTGGAAAGATGCCTAGCTAAGTGTTGAGTCTTACAGACTAAGTCAGGGCAACAAGGAGCCGGTATACACAAAATGTACCCAGTCTAATAGGTGAATAACTACTTTTTTAAGTTTTTATGGTACCATCACGCTGTTCTTTTATGCAACGGTTAGGTTTATGAATCTTACATTACCACCCGTCGATCAAACTCCATCTAAGAAATACATGTTCAAATATTCACAACCATTGTCGTATAGTATTCACGGTTGTCTTACGTGAAACCCCGAGAAACTTCCGGCCCCATGCGAGCTATTGTAATAAGATTGCACCTTGTCATGATTTGCGGTTAGACATAGAGTAATACAGATGTGACGACAAACCATAAATTTTTGGAGTTGTCGAAATAAAATTACAACAAAAGAAGCTAAGTTTCACAATAGTGTTCAGAACACGTTTTTCACTTGTAATAAAGAGTAAAGATGTCATGCGAGAACCAGCGCTGCATAGCTATAAAACTTGCAACAACACGCTGAATAGTTCAGTCTTTCGACACGCGAAAATAAGTATTTTTTTGCATGAACTATTTCATTATTTTTATCTCTCTGTCTTTTATATGTCAGTAATCGAACGATTACCATAATTTGTGAAGTCCGGGAGCCACAGCAAAAGTTCCTAGGATAGCCAACAGTCTCGACCAACACCTTAAGAGGCTCACGTTGGACAACTGGACCAAGAGTCCGAAGCGAAACGCAGTTTTCTTCAACACGGACCGTATAGTGTGGAGGTTCTTGTCTTTGAAGCCCTAAATACCGGGGGCCGTATCCGTGTACCCGATGTCAGATGCATACTATAATATTTTTAACTGTGTATTTTTTCTTTTATTAGATATTTAAAAATGTAATCAAGAATAAAAAAAAAACTGATGCAAATGCATCAAATCTTTAAAGTAAGCGTAAACAAATGTTTACGCTTACTTTAAAGATTTCTACACTAGGGACATCTCTTAGTAATTAATCTTAGGATTATTAAATATAAACTACCGAAAAAAGTTCATTTACTCTGGCATAGAGATTTATGGAACCTTTTTTTTTCTGTGCGAATCCGAATCCCCTCGGATAACTCCCACCGGTTGCCATGTCGGACAATAATCGACCAAAAACCGCATGCAGTTTCGGGTACCAGTAGCCAGGGAACCAGGATGTCGAAAGGGCGCTCATGCTCTGCAGCGCGTCTCGCCGCCACCCCGGCCTGCTTCTGCTAGGGTGACAAATGGCCTCACCTGTCTCCCCCAGGCCTGCGCTTATGGAGGACGGAGGCCGTTTTGCGACCGCCAGCGCCTGAGTCGTCTGTGGTACCTGGCCTGGCGGGCCGCGAGAGTTCTAAACCTCTCCCGATCCTGCTGCGACACTCCTTCGCAAGCATAACTTGCTCGCAGAAGGCCGCGGAGTTCCACGCACTCTCGCTCCGCCTCAAGGCCGCAATCATGTTACCGAGCGAGAGAACCCCCACCCCACAGGCCGCCACGAGGCCATGCCTCTGCTCCACCCACGCCAGGAATTCTGTCAGCGTGTGGAGCGGCGTGCCCACGGTCCGGCCATCGCAGTGGTGGCACTCAGACGTTAGCTTCTTGGGGATCAGACACAGGTGATCCCCGAAGCATCCTTTCCCAGTGATCACCTGCGTCAGCCGGTATGAGAGGGTCTGTGATGCCTCTCGAGCCAATCCCCCATAATGGGTCTTACCGAGAAATTCATGAGACCTTAGAAAAGGACATATTCTACTTCTTATAGCAAAAATGGAACTGGAAAATGATTAAATAAGAGATGATAGCTTAACTACCAAAATTAAATTAATTATCTCAGATTAAGAGATAAATGATAGATAATGGAAAAAGATTCTAATTCGTTTATAACACAATTTTGCATTTTCCATTGGCATAGTGATAGACAAAGTTTCCAATAGCAATATAATTTTAAAGCTAATAAATAGAAACTCTGGCCTACAATGATTTTATATTAATACGGTACGTACTAGGTAAGACTCGTGTCTAATCTATGACACTTGCTTCAGATAGACTGGGTAAATCTATTTATACGTACAATACGTGTTACTGACAAAATCTCTTAACAGAAACCACGTCTTGAAAGCACAATATGTTCATAATGTTAGAAACCTTGTACTGTTACTAAAACAGTAAAAACATGTAATAAATGAAATAGCGGTCTATGAATAGGTAGTAAATGAAATACTTATATAAGTACAAGTTAATACATAAGTAATCTGTAATACATACATATATTCACAAATACATAAAATCTATAATTCATTTGCAGAGGAATACAGCAGATAGGATATCTTTTGTAAATAATAAATTCAAAT